TAGAATCAGCCCACATGGGCTTAAGACAAGGATGTGTGGAATCAACCGGGCCAGGTTGGGGCCGACTGGGGCTACCCGGCCCGGGCCGACCCGGTACACATGGGAATGGCCCATTAGACACTTCCACTCACATCGTAAATGATGTAGGTAATTATGATAATTACGGGATTTCACCCAACCAATCATCAGAGATCATGTCACATTCTGTGCCATGATGCCATTCCACCAACCAGCATGGGGCTATGATGCACCAAATACTGGTGTGTCTGCAGAACCAGAAAATGTTCAGTCTCCTTTTGTGTTTACGGTCAGATCTCTAAAAAACTAACAATGCTAGGTTTATGAAACTCACATCAAAAGGTTGACTAGTTGTGCTAAATAAGAGTATGTGTGTTGTAAATGTAAAACTCAATGAAGTTGGTGAAATCATAGCATGAAAATCAAAGCTGTAAAATTTGAACATATGCCCTGAACAAGTAAAAGAAATTATGTATATTTTTGGTAAATTCTCGTTTTTTTCATAAAATCTTCATAAACATGGTAATAACAAATGAGAGAGAGAGAGAGAGAGAGAGAGAGAGAGAGATTGGTTATTTATGTTTATGTTTATTTATTTGGCAGACGTTTTTATCCAAAGCGACTTACAATTTATAACCTATAGGGCATGTTGTGATCTGTGGGGGAAACCAGAGTACCCGGAGGAAACCCACACATGCATGGGGAGAACACTCAACTCCACACAGAAAGGCCACAGCCGAGTTTCGAACCTACGACCTTCGTGCTGCGAGGCAACAGTGCTAACAACTGCGGCACCATGCAGCCCATATTTAGAAATATTGTATAACAGGAAAAATGTTGTATTTCACAATTTTTATTAATTTGAGGCTATAAAGATTCAATAAAATATGATAAAACAGTTTATTTTAATAGCTTTTTTCTTCGGTTACTTTTTGGGACTAAAATATACCAAGTGGTTTAACTTGCCATTTAGAGGGTTAAACCTGTAGAAAAGTGTTGTTTCAGTTTGCTTTCCCTGGGCTGCCACCTTACCATGGTGGAGGGGTTTGAGTGTCTCAATGATCCTAGGAGCTAAGTTGCCTGAGGCTTTCTGCCTCTGGTAGGGCCACCTATGGCAAACAGGTCCTAGGTGAGGGATCAGACAAAGAGCAGCCCGAAGACCTCTTATGATGAATTAAATAAATGGAAACCATGTTCCCTCACCCAGACATGGGTCACCGGGGCCTCCCTCTGGAAGGCACGTTGGCGAGCGCCTGGTGGCCGGGCTTTCACCCATGGAGCTCGGCTGGGCACAGCCCGAAGAGGAAACGTGGGTCCCCCTTCCCATGGGCTCACCACTCTTGGGAGGGGCCAAAGGGGTCGGGTGCAGTGTGTGAAGGGTGGTAGTCGAGGGCGGAGACCTTGGCGTTCTGATCCTCGGCTACAGAAGCTGGCTCTTGGCACATGGAATGTCACCTCTCTGGTGGGGAAGGAGCCTGAGTTGGTGTGTGAGGTTGAGAGGTTCTGACTAGATATAGTCCGACTCACCTCAACGCATGACTCTGGCTCTGGAACCAGTTTCCTTGAGAGGGGTTGGAATTTCTACCACTCTGGAATTGTTCCCACTGAGAGTGCTGAGCAGGGGTCAGCATACTAGTTGCCCCCCATCTTGGTGCCTGTACGTTGGGGTTTACCCCAGTGAATGAGAGGGCAGCCTCCCTCTGCCTACGTGTGGGGGGACGGGCTCTGACTGTGGTCTGTGCTTATGCACCAAACGACTTTAACGCTCACGTGGGCAATGACAGTGAGACCTGGAGAGGTGTGGTTGGGAGGAACGGCCCCCCGATCTGAATTTGAGTGGTGTTTTGTTATTGGACTTCTGTGCCAGTCATGGATTGTCCATAATGAACACCACGTTCAGACATAAAGGTGTCCATATGTAATCTTGGCACCAGGATACCTTAGGCCGCAGCTCGATGATCGACTTTGTTGTTTCATCTGACCTGCAGCCGCATGTCTTGCACACTCGGGTGAAGGGGGGCGGAGCTGTCAACTGACCAATACCTGGTGGTGAGTTGGCTCAGATGGGAAAGGAGGATGCTGGTCAGACCAGGCATGCCTGAACGTATCGCAAGGGTCTGCTGGAAACGTCTGGCAAAGTCTCCTGTCAGAAGGAGCTTCAATTCCCACCTCCGACAGAACTTCCAAAATGTTCAGGGGAGGCGGGGGACACTGAGTCTGAATGGACCCTGTTCCGTGCCTCCATTGTTGAGGTGGGCGACCGGAGCTGTGGTCGCAGGATCGTCGGTGCCTGTCATGGTGGCAACCCCCCGAACCCGCTGGTGCCATCAAGCTGAAGAAAGAGTCCTATCAGGTCTTTTTGGCCTGTGGGACTCCAGAGGCAGCTGATGGGTACCGGCAGTCCAAGTGGAACGAGGCTCGGGTGGCCGCCAAGGCGAAAACCCGGGCATGGGAGGAGTTCAGTGAGACCATGGAGCAAGACTTCCGTACAGCTTCAAGGAGATTCTGGTCCTCCATCCGGTGCCTCAGGGGGGAAAGCAGTGCCCTACCAACACTATCTATAGTGGGGATGGTGTGCTGCTGACCTCTACTCAGGACGTTGTGGATCGGTGTGCAGAATACTTCGAAGACCTCCTCAATCCCACTGACATGTCTTCCAGTGAGGAAGCAGAGTCTGGGGGCTTTGGGTTGGCCTCTCAAATATCTGGTGCTGAGGTCACTGAGGTGGTTAAAAAGCTCCTCTGTGGCAAGACTCCAGGGGTGGATGAGATCCGCCTGGAATTCCTTAAGGCTCTGGATGTTGTGGGGCTGTGTTGGCTGACGCGGCTCTGCAATATCGCATGGACATCAGGGGCAGTCCCACTGGACTGGCAGACTGGGGTGGTGGTCCCCTTATTTAAAACGGGGGACCGCAGGGTGTGTTCCAACTGCAGGGGATCACACTCCTGAGCCTTCCTGGTAGGGTCTATTCAGGGGTTCTGGAGAGGAGGGTCCGTCGGATTGTTGAACCTCAGATTCAGGAGGAGCAATGTGGTTTTCGTTCTGTTCGTGGAACACTGGACCAGCTCTATACCCTGAGGGGGATCCTGGAGGGAGCGTGGGAATTGCCCAACCAGTATACATTTGTTTTGTGGATTTGGAGAAGGTGTTTTACCGCATCCTTCGGGGGGCCCTGTGGGGGTACTCTGGGAGTATGGGGTACCAGGCCCTCTGATACGGGCTGTTAGGTCCCTGTATGACCGGTGTCAGAGCTTGGTCAGCATTGTCAGCAGTAAGTCGGGCTCGTTCCCAGTGAGAGTTGGACTCCGCCAAGGCTGCAATTTGTCACTGATTCTGTTTATAACCTTTATAGACAGGATTTCTATGTGCAGCCAAGGTGTGGAGGGTATCTGTTTTGGTGACCTGAGGATCAGGTCTCTGCTTTTTGCAGATGATGTGGTCCTGTTAGCTTAATCAGAATGTGATCTTCAGCTTTCGCTGGAGCGGTTCGCAGCCGAGTGTGAAGCAGCTGGGATGAGAATCAGCTCCTCTAAATCTGAGACCATGGTCTTGATTCGGAAAAGGGTAGAAAGCCTTCTCCGGGTCAGGGATGAGGTCCTGCCCAAGTGGAGGAGTTTAAGTATCTCGGAGTCTTTTTCACGAGTGGGGGAAAACTGGAGCGTGACATCGATAGGCGGATTGGTGCTGCATCTGCAGTGATGCGGGCATTGTACCGGTCTGTCATGGTGAAGAGAGACCTGAGTCAGAAGGCGAAGCTCTCGATTTACCGGTCGATCTACGTTCCTACCCTCACCTATGGTCATGAGCTTTGGGTAGTGACCAAAAAGAACAAGATTGCGGATACAAGCGGTCGAAATGAGTTTTCTCCGAAGAGTGGCTGGGCTCTCCCTTGGTCATTCGGGAGGGGCTCGGAGTAGACCCGCTGCTCCTCCACATCGAGAGGAGCCAGTTGAAGTGGCTCGGGCATCTGGTCAGGATTCCTCCTGGACGCCTCCCTGGTGAAGTTTTCCGGGCACGTCCAACTGGGAGGAGACCTAAAGGTAGACCCAGGATACGGTGGAGGGACTATATCTCTCACCTGGCCAGAGAACGCCTTGAGATTCCCCACAGGAGCTGGCCCAAGTGGCTGAGGAGAGTGATGTCTGGGCCTCTCGCTTTAGGCTACTGCCCCCGCGACCCGACTCCGGATAAGCGGATGAAAATGGATGGATGGATAGTTTGCTTTCAACCAGTTTTGCTGTACATGCTCATATAAATAATTAATCTGAGGTGCTTTAATTGAATTTAGATGAAAATCCCATTAAAAGGGCTTGGTTGTCATGGCTGCACCACATATTTTTAAACCAAAGAATTAGAAACACGTCCATTCAAAATCCTAATGATCAAAATGTTCTCTGTGTGTGCGTGTGTGTGTGTGCACGCACGTGCACTTTAGTGTGTGTACGTGTTCTCATGCTTATTTGTCAGCAAGGCAAAGAAAAAAGAAAAATTACTGTTTTTTACAGTTTTTTCAAAATGATACAAAGTAATAATGCAAAAATGATATTCATCACAAGGTAGTAATTGTGTAAATTATTGTTTTTCTTTTATTTCAAACTTCCCCACTTATTTATTGATTGATTAAATAAGATTTAGGGCAGTGGTTCTCAATCCTGGGCCTGGAGGGTGGGCATCTAGCATGTTTCAGCGGTTTCTATGGTCTAACACACTAGATTCAGTAGTTGAATCACCTGTGCAGCAGCTCATCAGGCTCTGCAGAATCCTGTTAATCACCTGCTGATTGAAATCAGGTGTGTTGAAGCAAAGTTAAAACTAAAACATGGTGGCCGTCCAGGACCAGGTTTGAGAACCACTGATGTAAGGACTTAAATGTAACCTCCTAATTAAATTATTTATTGATATGTCTTTCTTCTGTCAATGATTTATGTGTCTTTCTTTATTGCAGTTAAATTTTATTTACATGGATACATTTTAATGTGAAGATGTTTGTTTTTCAGGATGACTACATCAAAAACCCAGAGGAGAACACTGGATCTGAAGAAAGTAAGTCTGCTCCTTAAGAACACCTCACAGAATGCTTTGTATACATTTTTCACAATGACTTTTGCTTTCAGTGTGGAGTGGCAGACCGGGGTGGTGGTCCCCATCTTTAAGAAGGGTGACCTGAGGGTGTGTTCCAACTATAGGGGGATCACACTCCTCAGCCTCCCTGGAAAGGTCTACTCCAAGGTACTGGAGAGGAGGGTCCGATCGATAGTTGAATCTCAGATAGAGGAGGAGCAATGTGGTTTTCGTCCTGGCCGTGGAACTGTGGACCAGCTCTATACCCTTGCAAGTGTGATGGAGGGGGCATGGGAGTTTGCCCAACCAATCCACATGTGCTTTGTGGATTTGGAGAAGGCTTATGACCGTGTCCCCAGGGGCACCCTGTGGGGGACGCTCCAGGAGTATGGGGTGGGTGGCTTTCTGTTAAGGGCCATTCAGTCCCTTTACCAGAGGAGCGTGAGTTTGGTCCACATAGCCGGTAGTAAGTCGGACCTGTTCCCAGTGAGGGTTGGACTCCGCCAGGGCTGCCCTTTGTCACCGGTTCTGTTCATCACTTTTATGGACAGAATTTCTAGACGCAGCCGTGGTGTGGAGTGTGTCGAGTTTGGTGGCAGGAGAATCTCGTCTCTGCTTTTTGCGGATGATGTGGTCCTCCTAGCTTCATCCAGCTCTGACCTTCAGCTCTTGCTGGGTAGGTTCGCGGCCGAATGTGAAGCGGCTGGGATGAGGATCAGCACCTCCAAATCTGAGACCATGGTTCTCGACCGGAAAAGGGTGGCTTGCCACCTCCGGGTCGGGGGAGAGGTCCTACCTCAAGTGGAGGAGTTTAAGTATCTCGGGGTCTTGTTCACGAGTGAGGGTAGGAGGGATCGGGAGATCGACAGGCGGATTGGTTCGGCGTCTGCAGTGATGCGGACGCTGAGCCGATCTGTCGTGGGAGCTGAGCCAGAAAGCCAGGCTCTCGATTTACCGGTCGATCTACGTCCCAATCCTCACCTATGGTCATGAGCTTTGGGTGATGACCAAAAGAACAAGATCGCGGATACAAGCGGCCGAAATGAGTTTCCTCCGTAGGGTGGCCGGGCTCAGCCTTAGAGATAGGGTGAGGAGCTCGGACATTCGGGAGGGACTCGGAGTAGAACCGCTGCTCCTCCGGATCGAAAGGAGCCAGTTGAGGTGGTTTGGGCATCTGGTCAGGATACCTCCTGGACGCCTCCCCGGGGAGGTGTTTCGGGCATGTCCTGCCGGCAGAAGGCCCCCGGGTCGACCCAGGACACGTTGGAGAGGTTACATCTCCAATCTGGTCCGGGAACGCCTTGGGGTCCTGCCGGAGGAGCTGGTGGACAAGGCCGGGGAGAGGACGGCCTAGAGCTCCCTAGTTGGGATGCTGCCCCCGCGACCCGGACCCGGATAAGCGGAGGAAGACGAGACGAGACGAGACGAGACTTTTGCTTTTATTCAAGTGTAATTTTTCCCACGCAGACCTTAAATGTGGTGTGCTGTCATGGTTTTCAATAAGGCTCGGCAAGAATGTAAAAAGGAACCTCTATAATGTACACAGCGAAAAATCACGCTCTACGTGATCGTGGAGGGTTACGGGTAGCTCCTGTAGGGTGTCTGAGCTTGTGGAGGGTGAGAACGCAGCTGGAATTCAGGAAAGTCGAGGCCGAGCCTTCAGTTGGATCCATTAGTTTGAAAAGGCGGCTATAATTGCTTTTGTTGCAGAAGGCTCAAGTCAGAACTCCCACCAGGCTTCATTTCCTCCATGAGGGTCTGTTCTTTGTTGAAAGGAGAAAAGAAAGAGTTCACCTTAGAGAAAATCAGCTGTTGAGAAGGAGCAGAGGACATGTGAACATTAGTTTCATATCATGGTGTGTCCAATAGGTTCATGAATGCATTTAGAGTGAATTTATCAGTAAATGTTTCACAATGTCTCCAACTTAAACCGAGGGGCTGAAACTCCCGCCCTTTAACCTGCTCTCATCAGTGGTGAAACACCACATAAAATCCTAGAAGAGACGAAATGTCTGAAGATGCAGCAGCAACAGAAGAACTACATGAATCAAGACATTAAGGTGTATTTTAGCTTTTAGGCTTTCTGTATTCAGACAGATTAGTGAAATGAACATTATTGAAGGTTTGTTCTAAAGGCCAAGACACAGTTCTGCTTCTGAAGGTAGACTGAATTTAGTTTTTAGCAGCTGAATCATGTAGCCATCCAGTGAACCAGCCAGTGCCCACCGGTGGTTCCCAGGTCCAAAACGGTTACTGTGCTTTTTCAACCATGGATCCAAAGCTGTGGGACGATTTGCCATCAAGCATCAGAACAAAATGAAACGATCGCTGCACGGCACGAGCCTTGGTGGCACTTCGCAGCTGTTGTGACCGAGACCGTAGGTTAACAAGGTCACCGAATAGAAGTGTTTTTCGTTCCATGGAGCTTTATGGCACATTGTCGCGCTTCCGCGTCTGATGTGATCCAGGGGTTAGTCACTTATTTAGAAAAGGATGTTTCTTTTCTTCGACAATGCATGGTGGACTGTCCCGTTGACTGATTTCCATAGCGATGAATGTGTCATTGTTCTTTGCTCTGATTGGTCCTGGTGTTGTCCACTTACAAGCAGAGACAGTTTGACAGACATCTGTAAATTCCTCCCCACAACGGAGCTCTGACCAGACTGTATATTTAAATAAATAGGATGGCTTGCTTGGCTATGTCAGACCCTCACTAAACAGTCTCAGTGTCTTCTAAAAGACGCCACTACCATGAGGGAACGCCTGCCGAATGGAACAGACAGAGCAGGACCCGACGTTCCCCTGCAGAATATCGCCTAAAGCCACGGAGCTTTGTTTCCCTGCTGTCTGTGATGGTGAGCTCTTTGTAATTTGTACAACGCTACAGTCGCTCTCCCTGGAGACGATCTACATGAGTCAGGTCCTACTGCTCATGCCAGTCAGAGAGCCCTGGGCCATCTGCAGGTTGTCCATCTTTGCTCTTGTTTGGTCCTTTGTGTTTTTTTTTTCTTTTTCACTTCTAGCACACAAGCTTCAGACATGACTTTTCACTGGCCTCCCAATAAATCCCACCTTCATTCCAGGCACAAGTTTAATCCCTTCTTTGTCAACAGATTTATAGTTGTGACTAATTTAAAACCATAAAAGTTCAGAAAATGACAATGAGACTATTTTATGTTGGTGCTATGCACAAGAAAAAATAGTAAACAGTTTTTGTGGTTACTGGTATTCATATGAGCAACCAGTTTAGCTGCAGAGAAGCATTCTTGTGCTGATTTCAGCAAAGGAATCACACTCTGCATGCAGCTCGGGGCCGACTCTTTGAAAGGTCAGAATAATAAAGTGCTGCATGAATCATTTTACCGATCGGGCAACATGAGAGCTGCTCACATATATTGGAGCCAATTAGTGATGTGCTCCTGCAGCAAGGGGGAGTGCTGGAGGTCAGGAAGGATGCCACACCCACCAAAAGATGAGAAGATGTCAGGATTTGCTCACAGAACAAGACTCGTGTAATCTCAGGAAAACATTTTAATACAGCTGATTTCATCTTCATCACGTCTCCCTCTGGGACTAATTTTGCAGATCTAACAGATTAGAGTCTCTTTGTTGCAAATTTAACAAGACAGCAGAGACGTCTGCTCGTTGGACACCCCAGATAGATCAGGCCTTTCTAAGAGATTGGGACCTGAACTGATTCTGCTTGGTGTTTTGTTTTTATCACCATAATAAGCTCAAAATGAGATGTCTAATTTGACCCTGATGTCTTGTTCTAAACTGCTCCTATTTTGTGGTTTTAAGACATTTTTGAAAGATTAATTTCATTCAAACGCTAAAACAGAGGCTTTGAAAACAAGTCTGTCCTTCTAACACACTCAAATCTACCACCTGTCAGCAGCTTTGCTCGTATTTTAGTCCAGAACCTCTCAGGTACTTAGCTGAATCAAAAACAAACGGATGATAAAAGGTTTTCAGTGATGACTCCAAGGCGCTGTGCTTATTAGAGGGTTGTGATGTGAGCACAGAGGAAAACAGGAGATGATAAAGCAGCTGCTTTTGTTCCCAGCGTTCTGATAATAATCCAAAAAATAAATAAATAAATAAAAAATACTGGACCAGAGCGGCAAAGCTGTGTATTTTTGTTGGTTTATAAAGTGCACATCCCCCAAACCTGCAGTGAGTTCTTCACTGAGCATATATATAAACCAAACCAGGAGAGCAGGTGGTAGGAAAACACACCCGCACTTCAATCTAAATAAAATCCTGGGCTTGAATTTTGTTTTAGCACGGAGGAGTCTTAGAAGAGTGTTGTCTGAGAGGTGTTTTTAATTTGAAGCTGCTGCTGGGAGGAGTTTCACATTTGAATCTCTACTGGAAACATCCAGCGTTGTTTCTATGGGAACTAATGTCGTAGTTGTGGAGCATCATTTAAAAATAATACAAATCCAACAGAAAATAAAGGAATAAAAGCTGGTAGATGATTATTATGCCATGATTGTTAGTGATTCTTTCCTGCAACGGCTCAGTCAGTTTCCCAACCACAAATGAAGCTTCTGTCTCTTTAAGGTCCTCTTTCCTAAAACAGTGGAGACCAGAGAAGTCATGACCTGTTGCAGGAGTGATAAAGCTGTGCTGAACGTCCTTCAGGGTGTGGGTCGTAAACATCTTAGTTCAAATGTAGAAAATTTACTTTACTGGAATTATTCAATGGCTAGGTTATGATTTACCCTGATGCAATTTACCAAAACTTTGTTTTGGTGTGTGTGTGTGGGGGGGGGGGGGGGGGGGGAGGATTATTAAAAATAAAAATATTTCTGCTACATCTTTTTATTTGTTTATTTTTGAATTTACTTAACCAGAAAGAAACTTGTTAAGAATCTCGTTTGCGGGGGTGACTTGGTCTAGGTGCTAATCTAGACCCGTCAGTATGGCCCTGTCTTGTTTGTGGTTTTCCTTCATCATAAGGGTTGTTGTTGTGTTAACATCTAGGAATCAGTGTGTGGTGGTGGAGCTAAGTAGCTGCCCCATAACCAGAGGGTTGCAGGTTTGCGTCCCACTCAGTCTGTTGCAGTCGTCGTGTTCTTGGGCAAGACGACCTGCATAGCCTGCTGGTGGTGGTCAGAGAGCCTCGCCTCTGTCAGTGCGCCCCAGGGCAGCTGTGGCTACATTGTATCTCCTCACCACCAGGGTGTGAATGTGTGTGTGAATGGGTGAATGACTGGTTAGTTGTAAATTGCCTGGGGGGTTGTAGAACCAGGCGCTATATAAGTACGGACCATTTACCATAAGTGGATCACCTTTATAAGAATTTAGCAACAATCTGAGAACAAACACTACTTATGTTACACCTTGATTGCATCAGCTACCCCCCCCCCCAACCTTTAAATGAAAAATATCACTTCCAGTGCCATTCTGAATTTAATCTTGTTGGACTATCAGAAACGACATCTATAGAGAGTTATAATGTTGCTCAGATTAACAGCACCAGGGACATTTTGTTAAGAGGCAGATTATTAGGATCTGGTACATTTCTAATCAAACTGTGTTATTTTATGCATTGTTGTTTGTGTTTGTGCAAAAGGTGGCAAATCCATTTTATGGAAAGTCCATTATAACATATAATGATAAGACTGACAAGAGTTTGGTGTAATCTATATGTTGTTCTGTAGTTGTTTAAAGGTAATCCTGATTTCTAAACTGACTCCTCCAGAGGAGCAGAAGACAAGATGGGTTGCTGTAACTAGTTGTGTTTTCTACTTATGTTGCAGAAACATAACAATCAGAGCTATCAACTGCTACTTCCATTGGGGTTCACTAGTCTCCTACCTCCTTGGAGTGTGGTGTACTCATAGTTTTGTGGGAATCTGGCTGTCAGCCACCTTGTTGACTGCAAAGCAGCTGCTCATAGCTGACTCGGGGTTTCACAGCTTAAATTTCTCTCAGCAACTCATTCCTGCCACTCTCTCTTAAATTTCATCTGGAGCCTCGGTTTATTTATTTATTTATTTAGTTGTGGCAAATGGACTGCAAAGGTGCGACATCCACTTTCTGATGGCATTGACTGTTTGAGGACGGTGGAGGACGTGGCTCTGTTTCCATCTGAGTCGATTTTCAAGCTCGGGGGAGGCTGGCACTGAACCGTGCAACTTTCTGAAGATGAAGGGAGGGAGGGAGGCTGCAGAGGGATGGGGGGACACATGAGGGCAAGACAAAGTGTATGTTTCTGTGTGAGCGAGAAGATGCAGGGTGAGGGGAGACAGTGATGAGTTGACATGAAGGAAGTGAGATGTGGCAAGTGGAGAGAAGACGCTCCATCAGTGCTGTCAGCTTTTCCTGCAGTCAGAGACAACTGCTGCGGATGACGCGCTGCCTCGCTAATGACAGCCAGGCGTCATTCTTCTTGGCAGTGCAGACAATTGACTCATTTGTGCACATAGCCAGGATTATTCCTCGCTGCGCATTTCATGATGTTTATTGCATATGCTCATATAAATGACGGTCTTGTGACAATGAAAGATGGGTTTGAATGGTCTAGTTGCACAGAAATTGATTATAAAGCACAAAAATAGATAAATAAATTAACAGCTCTCCTGTTTTTGCACAATCAATCTGTTAAGCACATGCTTCTTGTCAAAGGGAACAAAATTGCTGCCAGAGGCTCGGTGTTTGTTTGCTGAAAATGACAAAAATAGAAATTGTAAACTAAACCCTCTCAGGTGTGATTGACAGCTCTGCATTTACAGCGTCGGTTCTGATGTGTGTTCACAGCTGTCGACACCACCAAGGATCCGTGCCAGAATGTGAAGTGCAGCCGGCATAAGGTGTGCGTCGCTCAGGGCTACCAAAGAGCCACATGTATCAACCGCAAGAAACTGGAGCAGAGGTAGGCAGCTCCGGCCCTCCATTCACAAACGTGATGTTTGCAGAAGATTCTGATGATGCATTAAGGATTTCTTGGTCGATGGATGGATTAGTCTGTGAATAAGATTTGCCAGATGTGAAAGCTGAACTGTGTGTGATTGGAAAGCTGTGGAGTCAGTGACGAATCCACGGTGTGGGTACTGGAGTGTGCAGTTTCAAAGCCCAGTTCCTGTCCACCAGCTTTTATTTGGGTTTTTGCATCCAGATGGTGGCGATGGAAACTCAACATGAACCGTTAGCAACAATATTCATCTTCATCGACTTCCCTCAAAATAGTTGCGTTAGTAAATAATATGTTGGGTTAGGTAGATTGCTTTAAGAGCTTACTATATTTATTAACTCAACTTGTGACCAATAAGCTGTGATACTCTATGTAAATATAGAACATCAACCTGCTTGGTCTTAGAGGGTAGATTAGAAGGTCTAATCAGAAGATTCTAGGAGTCTTTATTCATTAGGGGATTGTACACACTTCGTTTTGATTCAAGAAACAGTCAGGTTTATAAAAGTAAGAATTTATTTTACAAGCAATTAAAACTTGACAAACTGGTTGACTATTATTTACTGTGAGTGGATGGAAACTAAAAGGTGGTGTCTAGAGCTTATGTGTAAATATAATGTAGTCAGAACTTCCGTATCTCGGAGAGCTGAGTTCTGGATATAAAAGAATTTGGTTTACGTTAAGTTATAAAGTTGTTATTATCAAAACCACATCCAGACGCAATCTCTCTGGGTTCTACGTACCCAAGTGGAGACGCCCTTTTGGGTCCGAGATGTCGGGAGGGGGGGTCGGAGATCCCGGTACCGAAGTCCGTAGACTAACTTCCAGTACGACCAGGTCAGTCCACAGTCATCTTCCAGGTAACGACAGTGGGAACTAGTTTGCGTCTCAGGAATAACTCTTAAGGAGTTGAACAAATCAGCTTTGTTCTGCAGGAACTATTTTGTTCTATCAGCTTCGCAGGTGCGAAAAATGTTTTAAAGGTTTTGTTGACGTGCCAAAATCTTTGATGGTTAAAGAGGTTTTGCTACAGATGGCTGGTCTGAAGCTTTTCTCTAGAACTCTCGAAGGAACTGAACAAAAACCAGAGTGATCTAGTTTTAATGTAAATGTTATGAAATGGGTAGCCAACCAAAAGTTGACAAGTTTGAGGAATATTACCAATAATCTCAGAAACACGCTTTCTTCGATTCGGAGGCTCTTAACTGGGCAAAAGGTTAACTATGCGCCATGCGTTTAACTTAACTTTACTTTGTCCTTGTGTGAGTGCAAATGGTGATGACCTCGTCAAGTAAACATGCTAAACATATATCATTAAGCACAGATTAATGAAACATTTCATTGTTTTATAATTATTATAAGTAGCAATAAACAAACGTTTATTTAATGATTATCTTTAATTTTAAAATCTTCTTTTCTTCTGTTCTTCTGTGAATCGAGGAGTTTTTATAAAAGAATTCCTCTGTAAAGGGACCTTGGTAGGAGAGAATGTTATTGTTATGATTTTATTATCTCTGTCAGAGCTGCAGGCTTTCAGTCTCCTGCGAGGGAAAATATTGTAGGTTGGAGTCGTAGCCAGGCTAAATTGACCCGGCTGAAGATCTGACCTGTGGGCCTCAAAATCAGGCCATTTCGTGACGTTACAAAATAAACCTTCATGAACAGACTTCTGTCTGAAATGTGTGGCCAACATGTATGTTTTAGGCTTTTCAAGACTTTCTTACAGATTTTGTTTATTTGTTTAACCAACAAAGGTGATGTTGACTGTGTCTTTATGTTGAAAACAATTAATGAAAAAACTCAATTTGATTCAGTGCTAATGAGCCACTGGATCTATATCTGATAAATGGTATCTAATGTTAAATGTTTATTTGATTGGGACAGTATACGTGTTAATAAACAACACATGTTTGTAAACATGCCAGATTATAGTTAAAGGCTAATTTCCATCCATCGTCCCACGGAGAGAGAACATACATGGTTTGAAAAAAAAAACTTTCTTAAGGAACAGAAATGATTACAATCTCTTAGCAAAATGCACATTGAAAATTAGATTTACACAAAGTTCATTAAAAGGCTAAAAAAACATATTAAATGCACTCATGCAGTTCAATCTATAGGGTGAATGATCACACAAAAACGGTCAAATAAAATCAAACCTTGTGCTTAATAGTGTTGTTGACTGAAAAAAACATTTTTTTTAATCTTATTTCTGATAATAGTCTGTAACTGAGTTTGTCATGCAGGCTGAACATGAAAATAGTCTCCAACACCTATCTCCTGCATTAGCTTCTGATAGAAAAAATGGTGAAAGTCTAGGATTAGAAAAACCTGACAGATCTACGTCACACTGTCACTTAAGATGTGTGAGTTCATGAATGTTAACTCGTGAGGGGGAAGGCTGTTGTTGATTTAACGTCCAGGAAACATTAGAGAACGTCTCAGACAGTAGAAGCCTTCCGTTAGCATGAGCAACTCCACCACACAGCGGAACTCCTTCAGGTTTGTGTTATTTGTGGAGATAAGACATCAATGTCCCAAAAGCAAACAGAGACCATGGTTGAGTCAAGTTGCTTTTATCCAGTCACAGGCAACAATATCAGGAAATAAGACTTGAAAATGTGCCGCCTGAAGCTCAGCTGTGATGTGGGCAAATTTTAGTTCTTGGAAATGGTGCACCAGTGTACACCCCCCTAACTCCACCCCAGAGTACAACTTACAAGGCATCGAACATCTTTTGTGCGTTCATTCTGTGTGTTTCATCCAACTGCATTACTTGGTTATTTTTTAAACACAGCAAAAGAGTTGTATTTACCTTGTTTTGCTGACGTTCCAGCTAACACTGTAGCCTTCCACAGAACTGTGCGTCGCGGCGAAGCTCTGAGGAAGGCTACAGTGTTAGCCTTACATAGAGACCACTGCAAATGCATTGATTAAATGAGTGTTCCACACCTTTAAATACTTGCTTCAAAAATATGGATTTGCCACTAAATATCCCTCTTTATCCTCATAGTTAAAGCATATGCACCGACTGTTACAATAGACATCCTGAATATTGTTTCAGTATAGACTTAGCACATATTAAACAGGTAAACAGGACATGCACCCTTTTCCGCAAGCAGTTCTGCATTCCTGACATTGCTTCAAAGACCTGACTGCTCATCACACTGTGTGGTAGCAACACATCGGACCTAAAATCATGCTGTTGTTATTGATGTCATTTTTTTCAACCTTTATTTATAAAGGTAAACAAATACAAACTTTGTTGACCTTCGGGCTTGCCGTAGTAGAGACACACAGGGGTTTATGGAGGTTGGAGAAGGAAGATGAAAAAAAGGAAGTACAGTGTTTTGGGATCCATTTTATTTGACATAAAGATGGCAAACACACTTTCTTGACAATACATGAGATTGTGTGCAGAGAAAAGTATAAAAATAAAAAGAAATGATGTGTGTTGATAAGAAATTTGCTGGCGAGTCGTGTTAGTGCATGCTCTGTGTGGACGATTCTGGTACTTTTGGGTCACAGCACTACTTCAACGGTGCGATGCCGTCACAAGAGATTAGCAAAGTGTCGAACGTGCCTGATATTTGTGCGGCCACACAGTTGGTGGTCTGGAGCTGGTTATGAGTTATCTTCTCGTTACCTCCTGAATGCTACACAATGCAAAAATGTCCCCAACCAAAGAATTTCACACAAGAGGAAAGTCGGCTCAAAACGGTCAAAAAATTGCAGCGTACGCCTGGCTTGAGTAATAAACTTGACACTTACCTCCCTCACTAGATGTAGGAGGGTTTGTTTTGGATTCAAATCAGCAGGTTTTTGAGGAAAGTACTAATCATGTTAAAGAAGTAGAGCTTTGAGTGTCAAATATGATACATTAGACATTTAAATGTGAGAGAGTGAAAGCATTATTTTACTTGTGAACGATGTGCAATTTTGATTTAAAATGATGAGTTTTGGGATTGGTGTTAGTTTGGAGAGAGTGAGTATTTTAAATCAAATTGGGCTTAACAGCTTTATTTTATCATTATAAAGAGTTTTTTTTTTTACATCAACTCCTTCAAATTTACATTTTTTGATTTGTTGTGCTGGATTGTTGTCTGCAGGCAAAAACGAGACTGAATCTGGGCAAAATGTGATGTAGCAAAACAATTATTCTGTTGTGATCATTTTCTTTATTATTGTAGGAGGAAAGTTTTCTTTAAAAGGACCATTACAAAAACCCATAATCTCACAAAGGACGTGTTTACACAAACACTGTAAAGCGAGTCCTGTTTGTGCTGAACTTACAAAAATCCTCAACTAACAGTCGACACAATCTGGGAGACTGATTTTAAAACACCTAACGTTATCCTAGACTGTAGACCCGTGGAAACAAAACAGATTCTGGAGCTTGGTGTGGCAAGAGCAGAAATAAGCCATGAAAGGGGAAAATGGCATTCTGTAAAGTTAGTCGATAAAGCTAAGCGGAGCTACAAGTGCCGCTGCGGCATTCGTTCACTGTGCAGCTCTGAGTGAACACAGTCATGCTTTAAAGAGCAGGAATATCAGACTCAAATGAAAAGTCTTTTTTTTTTTTACTTCACTCTGCAGTGATACTGAAGTATATCCATGATTTCCAACAGCTTTTTGTATATTTTTACTGGACTTTACAGGGTAACAGTTTGACAAACTGGCACAAATGAAAAATATTAAACGTATAATCACCTTTCATTGAGGTTTATGTTTGGCTCCTTTTTAGTCTTCTGTAGTGAACATCATCGTAAAGTGTTTATCTGCCTCCTGCACTCGTTTACTCCTCTGTGAAAGAAAAACAAACGGGCTGCAGCCTGAAACAAATTAATGGAGTGAATTATTACTACCTGAAAAGTCTATCAGCAGTGGTGACAGGCATTTATCTTTTTCACTAAAGTGCTTCATTTATAGAGTTACTGCAGTGATGAGACGAGCGGCGTCCAATGGTGGGTAATAAGCAGGAGTGCAACCGCATCAAATCATCCCGGCATCATTAGGCTGCAGGCTGAGGAGCTGCACGGCAGAGCCTGAACATGAAGTCAATCAGTGCGCGAGGAGAAAGGAGGTTTTATGTGCAGAGTTTTTACGACACTCAGTCAGTTACGATCAAAAGTGTCTTGTTTTGTGTTCGGTTTGTCGGTTTCGCAGAATGTAATCTAAAAACTTTTAGGAAAAACTTTTTCAACCGAGCAAGATGGTGGATATTGGATCCATTCATCCAGATTATGAAATTTTTTGCTCGCTTGTGTCTAGTTTAAGGTTTTTCATACATGAAAACTGTGCATAAGACTTGTTTTAGCTGCAGTGAACAAGCTCTGGTTCAGTGTTTTTGATAACAAACCTAATGCATCACTTCCTTGAAGCTTTGTCACAAATGCTGTGTTTGTCTAAATTGTCTCCAAGCCCACAAATCAATACACTGCTTTTCATTAAATTTCATGCACTGCAGTGAAATCGGTGCTTCGCGGCATCATTTTGATGCAAGGGTTAGGAATAAGAGACAAACACAAAGAGGGATGTTGAGTTTTGAATGGGTTAATTTTTATGGATATTTTGATGGAAATAGTTTAACCCATAGTTTGTTTTATTAGCTCACATTTGAAGCATTGTGAATTTTCTTGTTTTCCTTTATAATCTTACATTAATTTTACTTTAAAAAAAATTTCATAATTAAAAGCATGTGCAACTGATGAAATAACATCACATGCAGTATGAAGGGTAAAACTGGCTTCCTTTCAGATACCAGCATTAGATTAAAATCATACTATGTAAATTTTTTATATTTTTAGATCGTTTTCTTGAGTCAGTTAATGCTAAAACGACCCTTTACAGTGTTAATGAAATGTTACTCAGGCCCCTACCACCCTCTGTTGCCAGAATACCGCATTTGCAACTTCAGAGCAGTGGAACGCCTCTCGTTGGAGTTGAGCTGACATACCTGCCGCTGCAGTCTAGTTCAAGCATGTTTCCTGCATGTTTTAGATCATAAACACCGTCGATTAGGTTAATTTAGTGATGAATCACTTCTGTAGACACTAAGGAAGGCTGGAGAGGCATTTCAGCTTTCAGGTTAAGGTATTCAAAAGATGAATGCACAGCGAGGAGATTAGTTTCGTTTTTTATTCTACTAAACAGACACCAGGGGGCGCTAAAAATCTGCCTAAACTGCTAAGAGCTGGTTCACTAAGAAACCATTTTTTAGTAGTTATTTTCTAAATAATGTTGGTCAGTTTGAGTTTCACATGCAGGCTGAACGTAAAGATAGTCTTCTACCCCTATTTCCTGCGTTAGCCGCCAAAACAACATACACGTGGCAGCAACTGGATTAGAAATGCCTGACAGATCTACATCATACTGTCACTTAACATTCATGACTCCCCCATCTAGGTTGCTGTTGAGAGAATATCTCTACTATTAGAAGCTAGCCGTTAGCATTAGCAACTCCACCACACAGTAGAACACCTCCAGGCTTGTGTTATTTGTGGAGATAAAACAATGTTGCAGAGCAAACAAAGTCAGTGGTAGAGTCATGTTGCTGCTAGCCAATCAGAGGTGAGATGTCCAAATATCTGGTAATAATGACTCTAATCCCCCTCTCCTCCTGCTAACTTCCACTTCCTGAAACAGAAGCACCAAAGCTTTTTTCCCCAAAGAAAACGACTCACAAGGCATTTTTACTAGACCACAGCAAACACATTGAAATAAGTAAATGAGCACTTTACTCATTTTCTGCAACCCTAAAAGAGAAATAAGACATTTGCAAGAAAGAACACCAATAAAAGTTTATCTTTTCCTTATTCTCTCTACTCCTGCTCAGAGTTAAGCAGTCCGAGCAGCAGGAGCTTCATGAAAACAGCTGCAAACCTTGCCCCGTGGCCGCTTCCTCCCCTGTATGTGGCTCTGATGGACACAACTATGCTTCTGAGGTAAAAGCATACACATTCTGCACCAGATTTTCTCCTCAAACATTTACTTTCAATACTTTTTTACCTTGATGTTTTCTTTATTTTTCATTTGATCTGAAGTGTTTCCTATGTAAAAAAAAAAACTGAGCAGAGGAATAGTTTTAAATAATGAGAAGAGACCGGTCAAGTACAGTTTCCCGCTGCGCTGACATGCACGTGGGTGCAGCTGTTCATCACTGCTCACAGGAGGACAAGTGAAAGGGCTCCTGGTGATTAATGACTGACGTTCTCAGCAGCATCACCGTAGGCCGGCTGCAGCCAGGACTCCATTGATTTATGTACAGTTTTTAATTTTGACCTTGCATGAAAAGACGGTGGGAGAAAAATGACAACTCATTCTTGCTGCCTTTCTTTAAGTGCAGCATCTCGTCTGAATGAGCAATCTTTTTCCCGCGGTCACCCTCATAAATATTTTAACGGCTTTCGTGCCTTTCTCTCTTACAGTGCAAACTGGAGCACCAGGCTTGCCTCACGAGCAAAGACCTGAGGATCATGTGTGTTGGATTTTGCCCCTGCACCTCTGTCCCTGTCACAAATACTGACCTGAAACATGGCAAGTGTCGCTTTTAAATTTTTGTCCTGACTTGACACATTTTCATGCATTGTATTTAAAACAAATGTGCATTTAGCCTGTAATGTTCTCATAGAACAAATCAAACAAAAGCATGTTCAGCATTTGGGATCAATACTCAGCATTTTTAGAGATTAGTGTCAGCCAAATATCCCCTGTGTGATTATCTGCTCCTTCAATCATGTAGTAATTAATTATTTAGAGTGTACACAATCCATCAGTGCACCCAAACACCATTGATTGTCCAAGCCCCAGGGCGAGTGAAAATGCCAATTGACCAAACAGCTGAAATGTTAGCCCTCTCTTCTGTAGTCTGGAATAAGTGTAGCTTGAAATTGAAAGTAGATTTCTGTTGGATAACAGCAAATCGCCGCCTCGGAGTTACTGTGAATTGATGTTTTTCTTTGATTGGCAGATCAGACGCTTAACCCTATAAGGCCCACTGTATCGTATGTGATACACACATTTTTAAGTTTGTAGTAGCTGTAGCTCTTTAGCAAGATTAGCATTTTCCAAAACAATCTGCAGTCAAATCTTTTAAGGGTTTTCTGCCTGCTCATGGATTATTTATGTACTTAAGTGTCAAGAGGGATTTTTATTTAGTATAATTATTGTTGTATTATTATAGAATTGCTTGATAAATTTAATATGAAAGTTAATAATTGTATACGGTATTATTATTACCAATCAAATGTTTAAAATTTTAATAAATTCGAGCCATTTGAATATTATTTAATGTGTTGGGCATGGAAGTACAACAGTGCTGTTAGGTGGGGTGGTGGTGGGGGGAATCGTCTGTTGATCATAGAGAAGTCCAAGTCTGCCTTCAGGGGAAAGTGAGTGTAATGTAGCAGGTCCATTGCACAGGCTTTTGTTGTGGTTTAAATGAAACCAGACACAATAACAATTGTTTTAATGTTTATTTAAAAAGGGTGAAGAGTTTAGACCTGTAAGAAGAAGAGTTGGTATGAGTATTGAAGATTTAAAATGGTAAATGATTGAGTGTTTGTACTTAGCTGTTTCCTTTGTGCTTCTGGTGGTGTTCCAGCTAAAAGAGTCCCTGGGGAGCTGGAGCACCTAAAGAAGGTTCCGGAGCATTCCATTCAGGATGAATAGGAGGGATGATCTGTGAAATTGATCTATGAATATAGATTAGTTTCACTGAATGTTTTTAGGATTGATTAAGGATATTTCTATTTTTGTATTGTAATTTATTAAAGAAATCTTATAGATGATGGTTTAAGGATAATTTAAGAATATTGAAAGATTGTATTTTTGTATTTACCTGTGTCTGGGTTTTAGGATTAGTCCAATTAGTCACACCTGTTATAAATACAGCGCTGTGTTTGTTGGAGAGGGTTGAGAGATCGATGGAGCGGCATGCATGGATTTTTGCTACCTAGTTTTTAATTTAGAAAAAAATGTAAATAAATGCACTTGGGTCTGCACTGGACATCGGCCTCCTCAGTATCACTTTTTCCTCCTGAGCGCATGAGTCATGTTGCTCACGAGCATCTGTGGGGTGTTGAGCGGTGGGAATTGTCTTTCTTTGCTCCTGCAGAGAGCTGCACGGGTCAGGACCTGGCAGACTTGGGCGACCGCCTCAGAGACTGGTTCCAGCTGCTTCACGGGAATGCAAAGCAGAACAACTCTGGCAAGCCTGGATCGAGCAGCGCCTCAGGTTAGAGACTCACCTCTTATCATTAAACATACAGTCCGTGCTAAGTAGTGGTGTAGAAACTCAAACACTGTTTGGTTATTGCTGACAGTGCTGGAAAAGAGTCTGGTAGCTAGCTGCAAGGATTCCATCGGTTGGATGTTCTCAAAGCTGGACACCAACAACGATCTTTATCTGGACCAAGCTGAGCTGGCTGCCATTAACTTGGACAAGTATGAAGTCTGCATCCGACCTTTCTTCAACTCCTGCGACAGCTACAAGGATGGGAAGGTCTCAACAGCGGAGTGGTGCCTCTGCTTCTGGAGAGAAAGTGAGTGGAGGTCTATTTTGGATCTATATGAGATGGATGGGTAAAGTGAATGTGAGTTTACATGAGTAGTAAAGGAAGAAGAATGGACCTCTTTCTCAGAGTTGCTGAAGAGTGTATCTGTGTTCATGACAACAGGTTTAGATTTTGAGATGATTATTCAAGCCAAATAATTTAGGAAGATGGATTTATTTTACAATTATTTACAAAATGGAAATTCAGTAGACTTGATCCAGATATTGTGTAAACTTACAGTTACAGCGCTCCATTCTCCATTTCTTTTATTTATATAGCGCCAAATCATGACAAGAGTCATCTCAAGGCACTTCACACAGTAAACATTCCAGCAGAGCTCAGTTCATTAAGCCAATCAGTAAAAAGTTTCCTATATAAGGAACCCAGCAAACAGGATCGAGTCATTGACTAGTGTCAGTGTCTTTTCAGCAGTCCTCATACTAAGCAAGCATGCAGTGACAGTGGAGAGGAAAACTCCCTTTTAACAGGAAGAAACCTCCAGAAGATCCTGGCTCAGTATAAGCAGCCATTCACAACGACTCACTGGGGATCGAGAAGACAGAGCAGACACACACACGTTTTTCAGCATCACTCCTGGAAAGGATGCTTCTGATCTTGTTCTCGATATTCCGAAAGTGGAAGAAGGAAATCCTACAAACCTGTTTAACGTGGAATTTGATTGACATGTCCTGGTCAAAGATAACACCAAGGTTCTTTACTTTGTTCTTGCAGCACTCATATTTGACCCCTCTAGAGGCCACAATTATTTATTTTACCCATTTTAGTTTGTGTTGAGATGACAACTGCAGTAATTGGTCAACTTTTGAAAATAACACTATATGCAAGATCTCATCCTGCAGTCTGTTAGCACCCAAAGTTTGTGTCACAAATGACAGTGTTATTAACACACTAAACTTTAAAGGGGACGTGTTATGACTCTTTTCTTAAGTTATAATAGTTCTATGGTCAATACAAAACACGTTTATGAAGTTGTTTGCATTAAATCCCTCTCACAAAAAGCAATTTATGCAGCTTTATTCTTGAAAATTTCAGTATCTTCCAGAATGAGCCACTGCAGGGTTCTGTCACTTTAAATCCCCAGTGTGTGATATGTTTATCTGTTTACTATCAAATCCTGTGTTTCCAGTTCACAAACTTGTCTTTTTTCACTAATATTTCTCACCATCAATTCTAAATATTCCTGTCAACTTGAAATTTTACATTTTTATATACGTAAACTGTGATCGACGCTTCATGGTCATCCCCCATCTTAAAATGCAGTAGCTGTTTAGGGACATACGTGCTCCACGTTACCCATTTGGACTGTGACTGTAACCTGAAAGAACCAGCAGAGGGCAGCAGTGCACCCTGGAAGCATGGTGTCTGCTAATTCAACTAAGAAATAAAAATAATAGCTACACCTTTGCTGTACTTGTTAGCTTGAATGAAAAAACAATTAGATCAAAAGACAAAATTTGTCAGTTCGTCATCATGTCCAACACAAGGAATCTGCATATGTTCAGACCCCCGCTCGCTATTAACTGGACTCTAGCCTCAGATTAGTGTCTCTGACTCCCAAACCCACTTCAAGTTGTTCATTCGTCTTTTCCTAGTACCAGAACTCCGGATCCGGTCCCAACGAGTTTGTTCCAAAGTCCTTCTACTCAAGTCTCCTCTCTTCCCACAGCCTGTCGTCTCGCCCAACATGCTCCAACACTCGTCCGTTAGCCAGTGGCTACAGTCAGGTCCATAAATATTGGGAAATCGACACAATGCTAACATGTTTGGCTCTATACACCACCACAATGGATATCAAATGAAACGAACAAGATGTGCTTTAACTGCAGACTGTCGGCTTGTATTTGAGGGTATATACATCCAAATCAGGTGAACGGTGTAGGAATTACAGCAGTTTGCATATGTGCCTCCCACTTGTTCAGAGACCAAAAGTAATGGGACAATTGGCTTCTCAGCTATTCCATGGCCAGGTGTGCGTTATTCCCTCATTATCCCAATTACAATGAGCAGATAAAAGGTCCAGAGTTCATTTCAAGTGTGCTAATTGCATTTGGAATCTGTTGCTGTCAACTGTCAAGTTGAGATCCAAAGAGCTGTCACTATCAGTGAAGCAAGCCATCATTAGGCTGAAAAAACAAAAGAAACCTATCAGAGAGATAGCAAAAACATTAGGCGTGGCCAAAAGAACAGTTTGGAACATTCTCAAAAAGAAGCAACACCAAAAGACCAGGAAGACCATGGAAAACAACTGTGGTGGTTCACATGGTAGTTGCTTCAATGAATTTAGGGGTGTGGTCCTGGTCAAGACAATCTCCTGAACTCCAAACTGAATGTCAGAATGGGAAAGAAAGGTGATTTAAGCTATTTTGAGCGTGGCATGGTTGTTGGTGCCAGCCGGGCCGGTCTGAGTATTTCACAATCTGCTCGGTTACTGGGATTTTCACGCACAACCATTTCTAGGGTTTACAAAGAATGGTGTGAAAAGAGAAAAACATCTAGTATGCAGCAGTCATGTGGGCAAAAATGTCTTGGTGATGTTAGAGGTCAGAGGAGAATGGGCCGACTTATTCAAGCTGACAGAAGAGCAACTTTGACTGAAATAACCACTCGCTACAAATGAGGATGTAGCAAAGCATTTGTGAAGCCACAACACGCACAACCTTGAGGCAGATGGGCTACAACAGCAGAAGACCCCTCCGGGTACCACTCATCTACACTACAACTTGGAAAAAGAGGCTACAAGTTGCATGAGCTCACCAAAATTGGACAGTTGAAGATTGGAGAAATGTTGCCTGGTCTGATGAGTCTGGATTTCTGTTGAGACATTCAAAAGGTAGAGTCAGAATATGACGTAAACAGAATGAGAACATGGATCCATCATGCCTTGTTACCACTGTGCAGGCTGGTGGTGGTGGTGTAATTGTGAGAGGGATGTTTTCTTGGCACACTTTAGGCCCCTTAGTGCCAATTGGGCATCGTTTAAATGCCACGGGCTTCCTCAGCATTGTTTCTGACCATGTCTATCCTTTCATGATCACCATGTACCCATCCTCTGATGGCTACTTCCAGCAGGATAATGCATCATGTCATAAAGCTCCAATCATTTCAAATTGGTTTCTTGAACATGACAATGAGTTCACTGTACTACAACGGCCCCCACAGTCACCAGATCTCAACCCGATAGAGCATCTTTAGAATGTGGTGGAACAGGAGTTTTGTGCCCTGGATGTGCATCCCACAAATCTCCATCTGGAAGATGTTATCCTATCAATATGGGCCAACATTTCTAAAGAATGCTTACAGCACCTTGTTGAATCAATGCCATGTAGAATTAAGGCAGTTCTGAAGGCAAAAGGGGGTCAAACACCGTATTAGCATGGTGTTCCAAATAATCCTTTAGGTGAGTGTACGTTTAAATGCGGATGACACCATTTTATATTCATGCAGTTCATCCTTGAACACAGCTTTGTCCTCCTTGCAGTACAACTTTAATTGTCTTTAACATGTCTTCTGCAACCTTCATTTTCATTTAAACACCAGTAAAACAAAGTTCATGATCTTCAACAATAACTTACCGCAATCAACATGCCACCATAGTATTGTTTCCCTGGATGCTACAGAACTACAACTTGTCAGTTCACGTATTTGGGTATTTGGCTTGACAGCCCACTTACATTTAAAAATCATATTGATCATTACTTTCTAAAGTCAAGAATTGGGTTTCTATACCACAGCAGGTCATCCTTTACTCATTCTGCAAAGCAAACCTAGGTCAAAATGACAATCTTTCCCATCTTGGATTATGGTGACATCATTTATAGGACTGCTTCCAAATAACTTCTTCATAAACTCGATGTTATCACTCAGCAATCCATTTTGTCACTGGTGCCCCTTTCACTACTCATAATTGTGATTTGTACTCACTCGTTAACTGGCCATCACTCCATTCCCGCAGGATGTTACATTGATATCAGTTCATATACCAAACAATCATCGGTAGAACCCCGTCATATCTTCGCTCATTACTCATCACTTCCAACAACCAGCGCAATTTATGTTTCAGTAACTTGATCTCTATGGTTACTCCCAAAGCTTGCACCTCCTTTGGCCGCTCATCATTCCAGTTTGATGCTTCCAACGCCTGGAATGTGCTGCAAAAATCACTGACGCTCACGACCTACATTCCACTATTTACCTTCAATAATTCACTTCAGTCAATAGTTTCTGATCTGTGCCTGCTTCTGATTACTTAAAGATTGTTTTAAGTCTGTTTTGATTGCGTGTACATATTGTAAATGAGAACAGACTTTTGTCTTTATGTCTAACTGTTTTCTTATTTTGATCTTGTATGTTTTATCTTACCTGTTCTCTGATCCAAAGCTAACTATGTGTCTGTTGCTGCTGCCTCTTGGCCAGGTCGTCTTTGTAAATGAGAACTGAGTTCTCAATCGACTCATCTGGATTAATAAAAGTTAAATATAATGAATGAATGAATTTCACCAGTGTGTGATGATGACTATGGGATTTTATAAGATAGAAGTGCCAATATCTGGGAAGTGTTCGTAGTAGAGCCGCTGGTCCTCTAGCAACAGCTCTGTCTTGCACTTGAGAGGGGGCTCTATGCTAATTTCTTTGTGTCATTACAAACGGGGTCTTTTTGAAATTGCTTGTTTTAGGCACATAAAACACAAACAGGATAGACAGATTTTTTTTTCATGTCTGGAGTGTTTATAGAGCCAGTAGAGACACACGTGGAAGGACAACAGGATGCAAAACTGCCCCTCTAAATTTACCCATGAGCAGGGCGTGTGCATAATTGTTCAATGAGACACTCAATGAGCACCAGGCTGTGATATTTGGCGCAGACACACACACACACACACACACACACACACACACACACACACACAGACACACACACACAGACACACACAGTTTCTGGATGTTTATATCTGATCTTACCCAACACTCTCTCCATTTAACTTTTACCAACAACAAAACTCTCACTAATAAAATGTGTCACAATTTTCTCTCTGGCGTGTTTTCTGGCTCAACTTTGCAGCATCGACTGCTAAAAGCTGCTATTGGGTTACATCAGAGGTCAGACGGTTTTAACCTGAAAGCTGAGAAAGAGAAAAGCTTAGAAATTTTAAAGTGGATCAAAGGCTACATGATGAAATGATATTGCTGATATTTAATCCAACAATACCTGATTTGCACAAAAAAAAAGATAATGTTGACATTTAGTTTGTAGCTATAAAAAACAATCAAAAGTTTCCACGGAGACACATGTCACAAGTGCAACATCTGCACAATTTGACCTTTGATGAAAGGAGGAGATAATTTACCATGCGTTTGCTCACTGATCACTCCACTGATCAGATGTTTAATGAGCATGCTATGGCTCAAACTGACTCTGATTGGTTTCAGATGGCTAAGCTGCTTTAAGCTGCGAACACATCAAGAGATGTAAAGGGACGTTTCACCATAAATCTTTAGTTTAGTGGTTTTTTGTGCCTAAACACATGGAAATATTTCTTTCACGGTCAACTAAGATGCTGGAGAAGGTTTGTATCCTTGGGGCTTGACACAAAGCGTGTCTTTATTTCTATTTCTATTTGCTCCAGAGGTTCAGCTTTTTTCCTTGTCCCTCTCAGCCTGCATCCATATGTTCTTTCACCCAAACCCTCCTCGATCAATCACGCTCCAGGGAGCTGAACAGAAGGCTTCTTAAACAAATCGATGCCAGCAAAAAGTGTAATTATGAAGTGCATTGATTGAGATCAAGTTTGAAGGGAGCAGTTTTAAGGTTTTGTCTGTCATCACTTTTTTTTTTTTGTTTGTTTGTACTCTCACAGAGCCGCCATGCCTCGCTGAGCTGGAGAGGATCCAAGTGCAGCAGGCTGCCAAGAAGAAGCCTGGTAAATATACATTTGGAATAATTCTGTGAATTCTGAGCTGGAACGCTAAACATGCAGTTAAATGGCTTTCAGACACAAACGTTTTGCTTACTTATCTTGGATTATTGTAAATTCCTGCCACATTGTATTTATCCTGGTTTGTGTCCTGTTGCTCACCACTACCTAAAAGCTGGAGAAGAATTAACGAGATCACAAGAACATAGCAGGGACTAGGGCCCAATCAGGAAACGTGGGATTAAGTGCTGAATTTAGAGAAAAAGCTAGGTTAATGTGGCCATTTGATTCTGATAAGAAGAAGCTCCTCTCTGCAGAATCTGCAGTATACCTGTTTTTTGTCTGAAATCATCCCTGAGGCCCGCTCTTGTTTTCTCTGCTGTTGGTTGGAGAGGATCGGTGCTTATTCAGAGTTTGACATGATAGTCCTGAGGGAGGCGGAAACTGCAGAGCTCTGTCACCACATCTGAACATGTCACTCATGCAGCATAGGAAGCCCATCGTGCTATCTTACTGCATGAGAACATGGTGGAAAATAATCTGAAAGCTTTTGTTTTCTCCACCTATAAAGGATCTGTCCTGATCCTGATCTGACGTTTGTATCGGTGGCTCGATGAGGCATGCTGGGACCTTGTCCCATACACCAACATTTAGCTGTAATGTGCTCTGAGGGTGTAAAACGCTCTAGAAACGGACGTGAGGATGTGTTCATGTCTCTGCAGGCATCTTCATTCCCAACTGCGACGAGGACGGCTATTACAGGAGAGTGCAGTGTGATCAGAGCCGAGGGGAGTGCTGGTGTGTCGACCAGCATGGAGAGATGATGGGCTCAAGGGTCCACGGCAGTCCGGAGTGCGGTGAGAGGATGACATTTAGGAAACAAACATTTTTTTATTGCATGTTGAGTTTAAGAGTCCAGGTAATAAATCTGACAGAGCTCCCATGTGTTTGTTTGGATTATTTTCCTTTGAAAAGCGTGGAAATAAAATATGAAGCGGTCCCAATATGTCCCATCTACTCACCCCCAATCATGCCTCTTTGCTTTAATATAAAATTATAAAAATAGCAATAGTTTGAGTATTTCACCAGAAACTGTTGAAACAGCTTCTCCAGTTATGATCTTCAACATATTAACAGATTTATGTGCCCCCTCATAAAAAAGGATCACTGCCAGTGATTGAAATCATTTTTCTCTTATCATGCGTACTCAAACTTCAATCATTATTTTTGCTAAATATGACAATTAATTCAATTTAAAGGTGTAGTTTACTCGATTAATCAAGGTATTTGTAGTGGTCTCTAAGAATGCCTTGTAAATCATACTGAGGCCTAGTCCACATGTAGCCGGTTTTTAAAAAAAACGAATATCCGCCCCTCCAAAAACTTGCATCCACACCACCGCGTTTTAAAAACAAACTCTGTCCACACGTAAAAGGATAAATACGTTGTTAAGGACATGCCAGACCTGTAGGCGGCAGTACTTCCCCCGTTCTTAACCTTGTCCTTCGTCTGTGGTCTTCCACAAGGAGCAGTAATTCCGCTTGCAAAAACAAACAAGCAAAAAGCGCTTGGACAATTGATAAAGCGAGCGCAGCTCTGAGGGCATCCATGCTGTCGGCTAGTGTAAACACAGGTCGCACACGTGATGTCAGCATTTTTTTGTAGCGGAAAGTGACGTTGCGGACCTTAAAACTCCGGTTTTGTCCGTCCACACGCAGACACCCAAAACGGAGAAAACGCAGATCTTCACTTTGTCCGGAGTTTTTAAAAAACTCCGTTTTCGTGTGAAAAAACTCCGTTTTCGTGTGGATGACAGGCCAAAATGTAGAAAAATACTTACGTTTTGGCAGATCCCTGGCTACGTGTGGACAGGGCCTCAGAGGGGATAAAAACTCTGGTGCACCATTTTCAGGAACTAGAAGTGAGCCACGTCGAAGGAGAGCTTCAGACGACAAGATTTGGAGTCTTATTTTGTGATATTTGGACATCTCTCCACTAACTGGCTAACAGCAACACAACTCTATCACTGACTGTGTTTGCTTTGTTGATGTTTTATCTCCACGAACAACACAAACCTGAAGGAGTTCTGCCATGTGGTGGAGTTGCTAATGCTAATGGTTAACTTCTACTAGTCGTGATGTTCTCTGCTGTTTCCTGGATGCTAAGAGTCAGGATGGGTGAGTCCATGAACGTAAAGTGATAGTGTGACGTAGATCTGTCACACTTTTCTATTAGTTTTTCACCATCTATTTTCTATCAGATGCTAATGCAGGAGATAGGTGTAGGAGACTATTTTCATGTTCAGCCTGCATGAAAAACTCAGTGACCAATTAGAATCAGAAATAATAATTAAAGTATGTTTTTTCAGAGTTCCCCACCTTTAAGTTAGAGCATTTGTGCCAAACAAACAAAAATATTTGTCAAACCATAACTCAAATCTGTTATATTTTGACATTTTGAGTGATAGAAGAAGCTGAAGAGTTTTATGCATAACATGTGTATGACGTGTAAAGGTTTTGTTATTTAAAAAGCAAAAACCTATACTGATCATTTCTGATGTTACATTTTATATCAGGCTCATTTCCGATGAGAGTTGGACTCCACCAAGGCTGCCTTTTATCACCGATTCTGTTCACAACTTTATTGGACAAGATTTCTAGGCGCAGCCAAGTTGTGTGTGTGTGTGTGGGGGGGGGGGGGGGGGGGGGGGGCTCAGAATCTGCTCTCTGCTTTTTGCAGATGATGTGGTCCTGTTGGCTTCAATAGAATGTGATCTCTTTGCTCTCACTGGAGAGGTTCACAGTGCAGTGTGAAGTGGTTGGGAGGAGAATCGGCTCCTCTAAATCTGAGACCATGTCTTGATTCGGAAAAGGGTAGAATGCCTTCTCCGGGTCAGGGATGAGGTCCTGCCCCAAGTGGAGGAGTTTAAGTATCTCGGGGTCTTGTTCACGAGTGAGGGAATGCTGTAGCGTGAGATCGATAGGCGGATTGGTGCTGGGTCTACAGTGATACGGGCGTTGTACTGGTCTGTCGTGGTGAAGAGAGCTGAGCCAGAAGGCAAAGCTCTCGATTTACTGGTTTATCTACGTTCCAACCGTCACGGTCACTAGCTTTGGGTAGAGACTGAAGGAACAAGATTGCGTATACAAGTGGCTGAAATGAGTTTTCTCCGCAGGGTGTTTGGGCTCTCCCTTAGAGATAGGTTGAGAAGCTCAGTCATCCGAGAGGGGCTCGGAGTAGACCCGCTGCTCCTCCAGATCGGGAGGTTCCAGTTGAAGTGGCTCAGGCATCTATTAGGATTCCTCCTGGACACCTCCCTGGTGAGGTTTTCTGGGCATGTCCAACTGGGAGAAGGCCTAAAGGAGGACCCAGGACACGCTGGAGAGACTATGTCTCTCAGCTGGCAAGGGGACACCTTAGGATTCCTCTGGAGGAGCTGGCCCAAGTGGCTGGGGAGAGACCAGGGACCTGACCCCGGATAAGCGGCTGAAAATGGATGGATGGATGGATGGATGGATGTTTTCTGTTGGCCAGTAATATCAGACATACCTTATCTGTACTGACTTAAAAGTAGAGAAAACTGGTAACCTACAATATTTAATGAAACTTTCTGGGTATTTGTCTTCATTATGAAACATGTTTCATAAAGTAGAAACACACACACAACCTACAAAAATGTTGACCAAACATTTGTTATCGACATCTTGTTCAAAATGCGATCAAACTATCACAATCCCAATGCCTTTCTATCCTCTTCCAGATGAAATAGGTGGATATTCTGGAGACTTTGGAAGTGGAGTTGGCTGGGAAGATGAGGAGGAAAAGGAGGCTGAGGAAAATGGAGAGGAAGCTGAAGAGGAGGAGGAGGAGGAGGAGGAAGGTGAGGCAGATGATGGAGGATACATTTGGTAGAGCGGATGAAAAATAAAACTGTCAGACTGGAAAAGCTTATGCTCTGATTGAATTTATGGTGCCAGTCGGGTCAGGACACAAGATGGCGAGCAATTTTATTATGTTTTTTTTCTTAGATGTGTGTACTTGCTTCATTCTGTTCTCGGGTTTGGAGCAACAGAGCTTTGTGTTTCTCTGTCCTGAACAGGTAGCCACCGTGTGCTGTAGGTAAACAAAGTCCATAAGAGTTTGTATCTTGTATTATCATCATCTATGCATAGAGAGATTACAAGTTACTTTGTATTGTGCAAACAGTTGCTGAGTGCTAAAGTTGGTGTCCCACTGGAACAACTAGAGATTTCATGTCAAAAAAAAAAAAAAGTTTGACACTTTGGGAGATAAGATTTGTGATTGTTTCTTGCAGAAGGTTAGAGATGTGTGTGTGTGTGTGTGTGTGTGCGCGCGTGTGTGTGTGTGTGTAAGTGAATGAAGGGGGAAACATTTGAAGTGTGAAAATAACACTTTTAAAAACGTGTTTGTCATATTATGCAGAAAATGAAAACAACAAAGAAAATTATCTGGTAAAGAATATCTCTAAAAATAAAACTTGTCATATTACACTTTGATAAATGAAACAAACATTATATAATATGTAATTTGCACTGATTAAACATGAACCTTTTATTTCTATGTTGAGCCAACACAGCAACAAAACCGGTTTAATAAACTGAGTTACATTGATGGAATGTGATGTTTTTACTAATGCATCCTACCTGGTTATAATCTGGTTTATTCCTTCTTATCCCTAAAACTAACAAGATTATAGATGCATCATTTTACATATTTTCTGCTCAAGGTGGTGGGTTTATGGCTACTTTACTGCAGGTTTGAGCTAAATATGGTCTAATATTTCTGTTTTTATTCAGACTGTAGCTCATCTCAAGCTAAAGACCAGAAGAAGTATTATTAGGCTTTATCATCTAAAAACTATAAGTAAATAAATTATAAATAAATTTATTATTATTATTATTATTATTATTAAAAGTTGGTAGCTTTCAAATCATGGTCCAGACACTATTGATTTATATTTATATTAAATAATCAGAATCAGATGCATTATATTTTTTCCCATAACAGTTGGATGTGTGAAACAAAAAATATTTATTTGGCATGCTCGCCTCATTTTCCTGATGCTGTTTAAAAAATCAGTCCAAAAAAAAATCCTATTTTCTAAAGTGTCAAACTGTTTCTTCACTGCTTGTAAAGCTGATTGTGTAAATAATGGTAGAAATGTAAAAACAAGTTTCAAGTTATTATGGTTTCGAGGTACTTTAATGACTTAAGTGCACAATAAATCTTAGCAGGTTTAAATCTGTAAATGTTTTCTGAATTTAACTGATTCACACAACAAAACAGGACCTACAGTGCATTTCTACGAGTCAAACTGCACCCACATTAGATGTTGCTGTTCCTTTTTCTGAGTTTGCACCTACTGTACTTTGTGTTATATATATAATATGCATTTCTTGAAGTTCTGTGTATACTTGAATTTGCACTACTTTTTTTCATGAGAATATTATTGCCATGTCTTCATCCATGCTATTGATAGACCAGGTGTTTGTTTTTGAGTACTGCATGTTAGTAAGAATGTACTTCTATGCTGATGAGCACTTTATTAAAAAAGGCCCTGGAGCCAAACTGTGTCTTGTTTCCATCCCCCCCCCCCCCCCCCACCCCCCCACCCCCACCCCCAACACACACACCCCTGAAGATTTCAAGGACAAAAGGATTATATCAGGAAGAACTTAGCACCAAACCCCCCTGGTGCTGCTCTCTGCGTATATTTATCGGTGACACTGCAAAAAGCAAAGAAAATTGCTCTCAGGCACATTTGAGGGTAAAGTTATTTGTCCTGTTTGGAGACTCAAGTATCAGTTTGCACATTTTGCTGCATCAGTGTTTTTAGATCTTTTTATCGAAGGTTTGTAATGAATTATAATTACAAAAATTCTGCAGAGCTAAGTGTGTTTTTTTTTATTGACAACTACATTAGGTCTGTCCAAAAAGTCTATATTTTCCCGATTTTTGCTCAATGCACTCTGGCATGATAGTGATACATTTCTGTGCTTGGAGTTTGTCCCAATTTGTACGATTCATTTATTTTATTTTTGGTCCAGCTGTCTCTTGAGGATTGACCTCAAGTTGTCAATGAACCCTAAGTGTAATGTTTTATTCCCTGAGCCACTTAGTTCAGGTTTTAGACTTAAGGCATGGAACTCCATCGTGGTGGAAAAGGCATCATCTACCTGTTTCTGTGTGGTAGGAAGAAGTTCACATTTCTCTCCAGTAGTATTTAGGTTCTACAGTTGTTCTCAGGGTAGAACACGAGCAGGTCCTCTTCCTAGTCTGAGAAGCAAATGCACATGAATTGTCTCAGGACTGTTGATGGGTGTGCTGATCACCTTTTATTCTTTGGACAATCCTTTTTTTCAGATGCTTTAAATAATAATCTGAATAATCAGAGTAAATGGCTGTTACTCCTCAGCTCTCAGCCTGATCCCTGAACCTTTCACTTATGTGACAGGGTGAGTATCCTGTCACTGTATCCCAATTGATCATGTGCCCTGGCTACTTGGCCACAGGGGATATCCCTTTGGCTGACCGGTTTGTGTGTGTGTGTGTGTGTGTGTGTGTGTGTGTGTGTGTGTGTGTGTGTGTGTGTGTGTGTGTGTGTGTGTGTGTGTGTGTGTGTGTGTGTGTGTGTGTGTGTGTGTGTGTGTGAGAGAGAGAGTCTGGAGGTCAAATCCTGCCCAGGTCCTGGTTTCTACATTTATTCCAGTGATTTTTAACATATTTTATATTTATTTTAACATACTTTTAACAAAGTCAAACAGTGCGGACGTTGCTAATAAATGATGTTATAAATGTAGGACAGAAACGACACCTTTCATATGTTCACATTCATTAACACAAAGCTAAATGAAAATGAAAATAGCATCATTTTTTCTTTATATTTTCCCCAAAAACATCACAAATGAATTCTAACTAAATGCGTAGAGCAACTCAAAAAAGTAAACCCTGACCATTAAACCTTGTTGTATTTGTTTATCAATGACATTTTTATTCACTTAAATTATTTTAAAGCATAAAGTTATGACTCCCAGCACAATTCTTCCATATGTGTAACTGATGCACGTTTTATTTTTAATATTTGTACTGACCTTTATTTAACAAGCTGCTCTCTTATATATCTTATTTCTTTCATTTCAACTATTCTTCTGAAACTTGGGAAGAGATCCTACAAGCTTCTTACACAGCTCTGGGTCATCCCACTTTAAAGCATGTGATTTATTAAATATTTCATTGGTTAGATAATATTCTGATCCATTTCTAATTATTTTTGCAGCTTTCCCCAGATTTACACAACAAAAGGACATATAAACTGATTTTTTTATTTAGATATTATTACATTTAACAGAATATTTCTATTGCTTTGGACCTTTTTCTGTTACATCATCAATGTGAACAACTTTAAGAGATTTCTTAGTTTTTATGATGTGCTTCTATTATAATAAACTGTGGCTGCAAACAAATTCTTCCCAAAATCTTATGGCCACATCTGTTTGTAAACAGCACATCTCATATTTTCATGTAAACCCTGTGAGACAAACAGACGAACAACTATGTCCTTCAGGAGTACTTCTGAGTTAAAAATGCTCATGTAATTCGTATGTGGAGTAACCAGGTAGGTAGGTTTCAACTGTTGCAAATCTGCAACGCCTGCCTCCAGAGGGTTTAAGGATGTGTCTTACTGAGAAAGATGAGCTGGTTCTGGAAATATGACAACTTTTGATTTTTTTGTCTCAATGATTATTGCATTTACCTCCTTCAGAAAGGTCAGAACTAATTAGGATTACTGAAGCAATGAGTAAATACAAATGTGTCACAGATGCTGTGGAATCTCTAATGAGCTATACAGGACAAAGAAATGCAGAGATAATTTGGTACTCAGCTGTTTCTTCACTGTAGCAGAATAAAAACTACAGCGGATCAAAGAGAAGAGAGAAGCTTGAAGATGTGGTTACGCTGAAACTAACGGTGAGGCTGAGTTAATCATCTATAGGTTCAAAGTGCAGTAGAAAAAAGTCCTCCAGTCTACTAATTCTGAGAAAACGTCCACAGACAAAGACAAAACTTGGTGGCAGACTGATACTATAAAAACTTTTTTTATTACATTTCAGTCATCTAAAGAAATCAGGCTCCATCTGCATTTCCTGGAAGTCACAGCTGTTGAAACTGTACAGATACTTGAATATATTTATTTAGCAGAAGACACTGTTGCTTCATAGTGACCGTTCCAGGTTACTGTACAAGAATTTACATTTGTATCATACAGAATGTACATGATTCACCCGCTGGAGCAGAATATGGTCAAGAAAGCTTACATGCAGAGCTGGTTCATGGATAAACACATTCTCACTTATTCTTGAAGTACGATTGGTCACTCTTGAGTTTAACATGCAGGCTGAATGTGAAAATAATCAAATACTTACTGGATTAGCCACTGAAATAGACAAGGAAACGTTCAGGTCAGGAAAAATAAACATATATATGTCACATTGTAAGCTAGCTTAAATGGACTCGCCCATCTTGGCTCTCAACAGGGAAGGCTGCTGTTGCTTTAGCATCTAGGAGAGAGCAGAGCGCATCTTGGCTAGAAGAAGCTAACTGTTAGCATTAGCAACAACATAGCAGAACTCCTTCAGGCTCGTGATATTAGTGGAGATAAAACATCAACGTTGCAAAGCAAACAGAGTCAGTGATAGTCGTGTTGCTGTTAGCCAGTCCTGTCATGGTCTGTGTGTCTTTGTGTTCCTCTTGTGTCCCCTGGTCTTCAGCCCTCCAGATATTCCCTCTCAGGTCCTGTGTTCCTTCAGTCTCCCCACCTTTATTTCCATAGGTCTATTATTCCAGTTTTGTGTGTGTGTGTGTGTGTGTGATTATGTCCTCCTCCAGCTAGGTGTTTGTGTGTGTGTTTATGTCCTCCAGCTGTGTGTGTGTGTGTGTGTGTGTGTGTGTGTGTGTGTGTGTGTGTGTGTGTGTGTGTGTGTGTGTGTGTGTGTGTGTGTGTGTGTGTGTGTATTTATGTCCTCCTCCAGCTGTGTGTGTGTGTGTGTTTATGTCCTCCTCCAGCTGTGTGTGTGTGTGTGTGTATTTATGTCCTCCTCCAGCTGTGTGTGTGTGTGTGTGTGTGTGTTTATGTCCTCCTCCAGGTGTGTGTGTGTGTGTGTGTGTGTGTGTGTGTGTGTGTGTGTGTGTGTGTGTGTGTGTGTGTGTGTGTGTGTGTGTGTGTGTGTGTGTGTGTGTGTGTGTGTGTGTGTGTGTGTGTGTGTCCTCCTCCAGCTGTGTGTGTGTGTGTGTTTATGTCCTCCTCCAGCTAGGGGTGTGTGTGTGTGTCCTTTCCCAGTTAGGTCTGCTGTCCTCTCCTGCTCCTCCTCCCTGATTAGTTATCACTTTCACCTGGTTCTCCCCCTCACACCTGCAGCTCATCATCCTCCCATTATGCCCCAGTGTATTTAAGCCCTGTCTTGTCTCAGTGTCTTGTCGGCCCATTGTTGTTTGTTGTTTGTCAGCATTGTTTTAGTGCTCGAAGTGAGTTTTTGTCTCGTCCCCAGACTTTGTGCTCTAGGTGAGCTTTTGGTTCAAAGTCTCAGGTTTTTGTGCTCCATTGGAGTTTTTTCGGTGTCCTGGAACTCAGGATTTTTGGATTTATTGGCTCGCTGCCATTTGGATTAATATTTTGTTTCATCCTACAAATAAACGGATTATTTATTTATATCAACTACTGCCTCGTGTCATCTGGGGTTCTTGCATTTTGGGTTCTAATCTCCTCCAAACCCTTCATTGTGACAAGTCAGAGGCGAGATGTTCAAATATCATGAATAATGACTCCACATCCTGCCGCTCCCCCCCCCCCCCCCCCCCCGGCTAACTTCTACTTCCTGAAACTGCAAACGAGTCACGAGGCATGCGTTCATACTAGAGACTACAGCAAATGTACTGGAAAAAATGCGAATGAATGAATGATAGCTTACAGTGTGTATTTTTCTGGCAATGGGGGGCAGTAGATATCTAAATTGTTGCATGCATGCTGTATTTTTGTGCTGGAGTAAAACCTTACCAGCAGATGCCAATTAGGGTCAAAAAGGCCCAGAGGGTGCAAACTTTAGCAAAATAACAAGCACACCACCCTCTTTCATCACTGGCAATGACTGAAGAGGTAAATGTGTAAAACAACGTTGATTAATAGTGAAAGATTTGTAACCATTTGTCAAAAATCAGTAAATGCATTTTGCCTTCATGGGCTCCCGTAGGAGGAAATATTGCATCTAATATGGCGCCGACCAGAGACAGTCCCATGTATTTTAGACCTGATTTTTATGGTTATATGTTACGAAGCCGCCAATATTTTTCTACAACTGGGCATCATTTCATTCATTTTCAACAACATTTTGATGGATATTTCCAGAGATTAACGATAGAAACTACACTTTGTCACTTTAATATAGAGATGTCATATCCGCCTGTGTTGATGCAGGAAATGTGCTCATTTTTACCCTGTCATTTCAAGATGCACATAATTACTTTCAAGTTTGTAAAAAAAAAGCACAAATTTACACAAATCGTCATTATCTAAACACATTTCTCCTGTGTGAATCGTGTCTGAAACTATCCATTTGGAAGCATCAAACTAGAATATTAATTTTTATCTTAGAACACTCAATGTTTTAAAGTGCACTCTCGTATATTTTCAGATAGTCAAAACGTACATTAGCAGCACTTAACACTTGTGTGCGGTACAGTGAAAACACTAATTAATTATCAACATAGTATTAATCATAACTTAGACTCTTATTTGAATTATTGCCACTTCAAATCTAACTAAAATGAATGACCAGCAGCAGGCTGGAAGGAGAGGTGTCGAGCAGATAAACTGGCTCAGAACTACTTCTACTCTCTGACTCGTGTGCAGCAGGGAGAGGGAGGTTAGCTCGTCTCAAATAAAAGCGGCTCTACTTTATTGCTTTCTGACATTTTAAGAGCGAGTCATTATTGCTGCCATAAAAATGCAATAAAAGGAAGTCAGCCACAGGAAGTGGAGTTCTGTGCGAATGTTTCATCTTTGAATTCACAAAGTCAAAGACAGAAGATGAATACCTGCTCCACTAACACGCTCCAAGTTAACCGCCTTCCATTTGAGCACTTAACTCCTTTGGATTTCGATATCCTTGACCCAAAAATAAAATTTAATCAAGACGCTGAGTGAGCCTAGCGTTAATAACAGCGGTCTTATAAGTCATATGAATCCATCACAAGTGGCTTCCATCACTTTTCATCTCTTTTTTTAAGTGTAAAGAGGATTTGGTGTATTTCCTTCTCAGTGCTCGAAGACGATATCATGTCAAAGCTTTCAAACTGCTAATCTCCGAGTAGTTAGCGTACATCTTTGGCTTTATGCTGTGAAGGCAGAGGCTGCATATCATCTGACTAATTCAACCTGAACCTAATCCTCTCATTTTGATATCTTTGTTTATGGAAGAGATTTAAAACCTAATCTAGAGATTAATCTTAAATTAGACAAGTCTAAAGCCACTCCTTACGCTGCATCACTCACTCACTATTATAATAAGCTCCAGCAGATCTTTTAAATAATAAATATTGCAACATTGCAGCACACATGCTCACATTCCTGGGAAACATCTCCATACCCAACAAACCCTTTTGAACATTTGCATAGAAGAATGTAAATGTTAATGTTTTTTAATGACGTGGTTGTAAAAATGTGCTGGTTTTTGTCACGTTTTGTGTTAAATCCCTGCTGGACTTTGACGGGTGGATGTCAGTCGATGTACTGTGATAACCATCTGAAGCCTTCCCCATAGCCTTGTCTCTTCAACACGCTGCACATGAATATCTCCAGCGGACGAACGTTCAGCTCCTTCAAAGACACGCTTCCCTGTTTAATGACAACAAGTTTTAAAAATAAACATGTCTCTCGTCAGGCACCAGAACATGAGCTCATGTGTGTTTCTGTAGCTTTTTACCTTTCCTGTGACCTGACCATCCAGACCAAACGCTCCCCTCAGCGCTGCTTCGCTGACGGCCTCAGGACGGTCGATTTTATTCCCCAAAACTAACACTGGTACGCTGGCGACGGTTTCATCTAACAGAAGAGCCTAAAAAAATCACAAAAGGTTAATCGTCAGTTTCTTCCAAACCAACAGAAACGGCTCGGAGCAGGTGTGTGTTTGAACCTACGTCAAGTTCAGTCTTTGATTCTGCCAGCCTTTCCTGATCAGTGCAGTCAACAAGGAAGACGACTCCATTCACAGCCGGCAGATAGTTCTTCCAAACTCTTCGAGCTATAAAATAAAAATGAAAGGAGAGGCAGTCTGAGACAGAGAAATTCTACATCTTTAATGCAACGGTTCCACAGTGTGCTGGTGAAACTTTACATTTCAAACACTGTAGTTCTTATTCTTTAATAAAAGAATAATAAGGTAAAACTACTGGGATTGAGCTGATTTACTGCCAATGAAATTAATCTGAATTATGAATAAAATCTGATAGCCCCTGATTTGATGACACTAGATCCAGATTATGTTTTCTTTAACAGCTTTATAACTGAGAGGGGATCACATTTTCAGTGTCTTTCTCTCTTATTAAACAAACGGGCTTGAGTCTTGCTGAGAATTAAAATCAGCAAACTTTATGCGCTGATACAAGAGGTGATAATTGCTTTTTCTAAAAGTCTAATTAAGGCAAAATGACAACATTAATGGGAACATTTTAACATCGCACCTAATGGGGTAAACACTTTATTTCCTAACAGCGATGACGTCTTCATTGGAGATGGTTCTGTCTTTAAATGTTCTTTACATTTGTCAGAAATCAGCTCTGAGCAGCGAATCAATTAGCACCATCACGTCAACAGAGACACCTGGTGGCAGCAATGAGAACGGCTCCTGATCAGATTACCAAAGTTAATGTAAAGAAGTGAGCGGCAGACAAAGGCTGAATTAGATTGCTCTAAGGATCTGAATGAGTTTTATTACAAACATCAGTTACAGCATTGTGTTTGTGTTTTTGGCTGGCTTTGTTTACTTCTCAAACTGAAGCTTTTTGGTGTATTTATCATCAGATAGACTGCTGCGCTTTATAAGAATAAGTGAACCTCACGTGTGTGAATAAATGACAAGGAGCTATGTCAGACAAATAATCAAACTCTACGCTGATAAAACAGGAAGCTTGGATTTTAACGTGTTGCGCAAATGCAGCATGAGTATATAAACAAAGACAGAAAATCCCTACAACTATGTATACCATACTTTATCGCTAGAAGAAAAAGCAGCATGTTTTTACCTTGCACATGCCCTCCCAAATCAAACGTGGTGAATGTCATCCCACCGATGGTCAGCTCCTCTGAGGCTTTAGGGGACAGGAAAGTAAAACTACAGATTATGCTTCCATGTGTCTAAGCTATAGTGTGAGTAAAAGGCTGAGGATCAAATAATCCATAACAACACACTACTATCCTGTTACATTTTAAACCTTTGCCAAAGAGGTAAAATCATACAGAAAACACAATATATTAACTTCCTTCTTTACGTACAATGGTGTGACCTTTTAGAAAACCTTGGTGTATTATTCAGTAAAATTCATAAAAATAATCCCCTCCCTCTGCATGTTCTTACTGGGATGCAGCGTCGGTACATGCTGACCAAGTCGGTCATCTTTCAGCATGTGTAGGAGAGTCGTTTTACCGGCATTGTCCAGGCCCAGGAAAACCAACTTCCCACTCTTCCTGTACAGACCTGGGAAGTGTTAAAAAAAGGAAACGCAGCACCATAATGCCAGATGACTTCTTAAACCAAATATTACAAAAAAATACACAAATGCTTGGACTAAAGACCTTTAAGTTGGAGTTGAATAAATGTTCTGTAAGAAAAGGTGCTCACCAAGAAACTGTAAAACACTACTGAAGCCCTTGTAGATCCAGTCAAACAAAAATGACATCTTGACACTGTCACTCTGTAAAAGGAAGGACATAGTAGTGCAACGAGAAACCAAACATAAGCCGTCACAGTTTTGGCTGTTTCAAACATTTAGTGCAAGACAAATAGATTTATGGCTTTATTTCTGCGTTTTTAATCATAAAACACATCAAACTGTTAAGAAGGCGGAAACTAACATTATTTTTACATATATGGTCTTAATATAAATATTCAAGTCTTAAAAGTATTTTAACTTCAGCAAAGCACCATATTCCTTTTGTGTAATAATGCTTCCTTTAAAAGTGAAATAAAAAGCCACGTGTTGTAGGGAGTGTGGGTCAAATAACATATTTAGTTTCATTTATTTTTATTTTGTTCTTTTGCTTTCTTTAGATGCTTACTTTTTCTGGATTGTATTTCTCTTTTACTTAAATGCTTTTTGTTGTGGATTTTTACAGAAGTTCTATTTCTCATAGTTCATTTATTGTATAAAAGATGTGACGAAAAAATACATAACCTGCCTCATCGTTGACCTGTTTAAACGTTGTTTTGATCTCTAATACGCCATTTGTGACTCACACGTGTAGCTGGTAGTTAACAGTGACTTAACTTTTAACCAATTGCCCTATTTGAAATAAAACACAGCGCACACATGTATAAATGTGGTGAAAATCATGTGTAGTAGTGAGCTGTTTTAAAGAGTGAGGACGATCACATTCGCGGATGGCGTTAACATGGTTAGCTAACATCCTCCTCGTGAGGGTTATTTCTGACACGTTTGGCAAACTAACAACAGCGAGGAACCGTCATTATCAAGAGATGCTAGAGGAGAGAGGAAACATTAAGATAAGTTAAACTGTTACATAAAAATGGAGTTAAGCTCACCTACACACAGCACCGAGCAATATCCCAGTTCTCGTTAGAGTCGGTGGTTTCCTTGGAAACCGTCAATCAGAGAGCTCTATCTTCTTCTTCGTGTTGTTTGTATTTGGCACGAGACATTCAGTCAGACGCTTACAGCGCCCTCCTTAGTGTAACTTTAATAGTGAAGTACCGTTTCAATTTTCTCTATTATTCAATATTTATGCATTATATCAATTATTCCACCAAACGTTTTTGTTTATTATCCTGTGCAGTTATAGCAGACTGTGTGTTATCGGGTTGGAATTCAACTTATATTCTCCTTCTTGAACAAAAACATACAAATACAATCGTTCCCAGCTAAATCTGCAAAACATGCTGTTGGAGCTTACAGTTAAATTGAAATACACAGATGATTTCAACAATTTTTTTTAATCCACCACATTTAATGTTATTACATTTTACAACACCCCAATAAACCATTTATTGAAATAATGAATAATTTGTTAAACTGCACAGTGAAAATATGAACAGTACTGTTTATAATTATTTTTTTCTGTGTTGTATCCATGTTAAAGGTGTAAACACACATAACTCAACCAAACTGGAAAAGTCAAACTATAGTTGTTATTGTTTAAAATCATGCAAATACAATGTGATTGAAAATGGTTTAATTCATTTCTGAACTCATACTTGTGACTGTTTTACAGCAAGACACAACAAAAAGAATGGTAGTACTTCTACATGGTCTGAATTTTGCTGAATGAGCAGCAGCATAAACAAGTCATGTGTGAGTATAGACGTTTATAACATCGTCACACATTGAAGAAATCCTTTCAAGCTTCTGGTAACGTCGAAGATTACTAGTTTTCATAGTAGAACCACTTGTCAACTGAAATAAAACAAACAAGGAATCATATTAGTTGAGCATTTGGAAATATTCTTGAAATAAATAAATTTGTTCGAACACTTAAAAGAGCAAGTCACCCCAAACTCAACTTTTTTTCTGATAAACTAAATAAATGCGTGTCTAATCGTGCTGCAGACACGTGTAGTCAATAGTTTTGCATTTTAGTGCATTTTAGTTCAAATTTAAAATTTCTGCCTAAAACTGTCAGTGTTTTGCCGTTGTGAGGTAAAAACTCTGCACTGCATTTGAATTTAAATCTGCCATCGCTATTGGCTAAGAGGTATCCTAGAACGTTAGCTGGTACCATATATATTTAAACATAATTTTATACGGAGGAATAACCACTTGAGATGAAACATCTCGTTTTCGAGTGGATCCTCCTTTACAACTAAAAGAGCAAAAATTAAGAGCAAGACAGCAGAGCAAAAATCTAAATCAAAACTTTACAACAATCATTTACAGACACACACACACACACACACACCCTCAAAGGCTCACAATACTTCACCCCACACTACACGACCCCAACTAACAAGGACAAAACTAAAGCAACAGCCAGTTGAACAAATACAATTAGTAACATAAACAATTATTCTGAAGGTGATCGACCAGAGCCCTTCGAAAAGTTGTGAATGATGATAAACAACGAATAGATAAAGGAAGATTATTCCAATCACATGGAGCCTTAAAACAGAAGCATGTTTCCCTGCCTCTCTTTTCACTCTAGGAACAACAAGAAAGATCTGGTCATTATGCCGCAGGCTGTAAAGTGAATTATAGGGAATTAAAAGTATTTTAAGATAATCCGGATAATTAAAGTAAAAAGTTTTAAAAATGAACTGAAACCAGTGAAACTGTCTCCTGACAGCAGGTGCGAACCAGGACAACTGTCGATACATCACACTTCGATGTGTCCTAAATGGACAACGAAGAACAAAACGACAGAGACTATTATAAGCAACATCAATAAAGTGCAAGCAGGAGGATGTCACAATGTCGTTGTGAGCCTGTGTTTGTGTGTGTGTGTGTTTGTTGGCGGCCCCGCCCTCTCGGTCTGCTAGGCAACAGCATTTGTTGCATTTTTCAAACAGGAAGTGGGAGTGGAGTAATACTCTGGTAGGGGGTGACTTGCTCTTTAAATAAATAGCACACACCTGAGCTTGGAACGGGATCTTCTGGTCCAAAAGCACAGGCCTATAAAAGTAACAGAAAAATGTACTGTTCTACCTGAAAATTGCCTTTTTCAGTGTTAATGCATTACATTACATAACATAGCGCTAATGTTTGATGTTTTGCACTTTTAAACTTACAGACTCAACCACAGTGTCTGCATCTGTGGCAGAACAGCAGAACGGACTATCAGACACAGTGGTGTTCATGCTGATTAAAAGCAGAAAGAAACCAACAACATCATTCATCTACAGTGCCTTATGTATTAAGTAACTCTAAGTTACATCTGACTGTGAGCAACTCACCAATTTAACTCTCCAGCATTGGTCTTCATAGACATCAGTGATTTCCAAAACTCATGTGTACTTTTCACTGTTTTTATGGCAAAATCCTGGAAAACAAAACAACGTATTTTATGACTAAAATACAAAAATAAAGCAACCCTTTCAACAACATGAGACACGATCAAATCTAAAATCGTGCACCCTGTTTTTAAACTCTCCGTTAAAAGCAAACTGGTTTTCAGGTTTCCCATCAGGAACTTTGTATCGTTTGAACCAATCAACGGTCGCCTCCAGATATCCTGGCTTCAGCTGCCTCACATCGTCGATGTCTGCAACAAACCAACAGCATAACAAAGCCACCGTTGTCATTTTGTCTTCCATCAGCACAAGTGAACAGAAGGTTTGTCCTACTGTTGAAACTGGCAGCTTCTGGGTCCTCTGTGTTGATCACAATGACCTTCCAGTCTGTTTCCCCCTCATCAATCAAAGCCAGAGTTCCCAACACCTTCACCTTGATTACGTCTCCACGAGAGCACACCTGAAATCAACATTCACCTTCCTAGGAAAAGGTTTTCAGCAGACAAATGTAAACAAGCCCGTACTTACTTTGTTTCCTATATCACATATGTCTATTGGATCGTTGTCTCCACAGCATCCTGTGTCACTGTCCTTGTGGTTGGGATCTTCCCATGTCTGTCAAAAGCATTAACACATGGTAAACTGATTTGTAGCAGTATGAATTCATGTAGTCTAAGCAGGACCTGCCTGAGGAATGGCTCCATAGTTCCAGATGTAGCCTTTGTGGGGAAACACATTAGCTACATAGCGGAGATTCCCCTTCTTCACGTCTTGTTTTAAAGGATTGAGAGGGTCTTTAGTGGCAATCTGAGAAGCACAAGGACAGAAAAAGGAAAGATTGAGTGACTGGTTGCAAAAAAATAAAATAAAAATACATTAAAAGTCTAGAATTCCTTGAGAATTATGCACAACCACACATTATCAGAAGATCTACTGAAAATGCTACTCAGTAATGTTTCATGGTAGTGCAGTTGTAGCACTGCTGCCCCTCAGAAAAAAGGTCACAGGCTGTGGCGTTTCTGCATGGAGTTAGCATCTATGGAGGTTCCCTGACTCTGGTTTTCTTCCACAGATCAAATACATGCATGTTATTTTAATTTGTGACTCTAAATCTGTCCCTAGGTGTAAGCGGTTGCATGTCTCGTTTATTTCTATGTGTCCGTGACCTGTCCAGTGTGTCCCCCACCTCTTGTTTAATGAACACGGGAGTTAGGCTACACTATCTGTAGATTTACATCCAATGATTTCTCTCTGAGTTTCTTTAAGATCAATTCAGTTGTTAATGAGAAATGTGTGCATTTGTATGCACGTGTGTGCGTGCGTGCATGCATGTGTATGTTTGTGAGTGTGTGTGATACAATGATTATCAGCAACAATCTCACCAAATAGATCAGCTTCATTAAAATAGCCATTTTTGTGTGTGCTAATAGCGACGCGTTAGCTGTGTCAGCCATCTTGAATTGGTTAAAATTCAACTATAGATCACATTTGGATTGTCAATCAAAATTCATCTAATTATTTATCAAGTGTTTGGGTCACACACACACACACACACACACACACACACACACACACACACACACACACACACACACACACACACACACACACACACACACACACACACACAATCTGCCTTTTTCTCAGCAAGCAATAAGATATTTGTCTAGGGTAAACATAAACTATACAAGATAAAAATAAAACAAAACCTCCATCTTTGCATTTGTCCATCTTGGAACTTCCACAACAGCATGAAAAATGTCCTGCAAAAGGATGCAGGCACACTTGTTACTCTGAAGCAAAAATCAGACAATGTCTCTTGTTTTAAATTGGTACATTTATTTTGAAAAATCCACCACGCAATCATAAACTCACTGAGAAGGAACATGTGTACACCAATGACTATAATTTATATTATAATTGTTACTTTTCAGGTCTATATTGATGTTAACATGTTGCAAAATTAAAATTATAAAAGAATCACGTAGGATATTACCACAATAGCACAAGAAATGGAAAAGTGAAAAATATTTTCATTTTAATGAAAACTTTTTTTATCATATTTTCTTGAACTGGGTGAAAATGAGCTTTTACTCCCTATACTGGCTCAATATGGTTATTTACTGCAGGGTTCAGTTTAAAATGAAGATTATTCAGGGTGGATGGACATTACTGCATGTAAAAAGAAATGTGACTATGACCAAAGTTATAGGTCATCAAACATTCTCCATAAACTTCAGCAAACATAGGAAATAATGATAATAATAATGACACCATCAATGCTCTAATGATGTTAATAAGTGCATGTTTTGCACACTTTAGGTGCAACCCTGTTTGGTAAAGTCATGTTTTTGCTCACCTGTGCTTCATTTGCATAGATGGGAATGTCATGAAAGGGAGAGATGTATTTGCCTTCTGAGTTTTCTAAGAACAAAGTTCAATTAGTGTTCATAAATTGCAGTTTAAGTCAATAAACAATTACCAAAAAGGTAATTTTGCTCCAACAAGGTAAATTTGACTGAAAAAGGTGTGCTTACTGAAAAACACCCTGTAGTCCTGGGTGTTGGGTCTGCCCCGCTCTTCCACGGTAAAGCTCATGTTGGTTTGGATCCGTCCCACTGCGATCTGTTCTCTAAATCAGCTGTTCTAAGAGGTTCAGACGCTCAGACGGAATCACCAAGGTAAAGGAGCAGGCATGCGCACTGCTAAGAAAACAAAATCTAGTTGCATGTTCCTGTTTTCATTTCACATCCAATGTCTGTCACTCCTCTGTGAGAGGCAGAGCTGTGAATAGTAATCAGCAGCGAATCCTGCCTTCTCACCACCTCTCCACGCCTTTAGCTGTCACATGCATTCTGCTACACAAATGCAAACACGTTCCACCTTCATTTCTACAGATTTGTTTTCCGCTGCCCTGATTCTCAGCCGCGACTCTTGAGGGCTCCTTTTCAGAAACAAACAGATGGAAGTGACAGGTTTTAGCTGTAATCCAATTTACGCTGCAGAATTAGCTGCTGAAACCATGGTGACTTCTTATGGTTTAACCACTACACCTTAATAGCAGAATTAGGGACCTATTTTTGAAATGTTATGCTTTAAAAATACTTTGTAGGATCTTGAGAAGGTGGCATGATTAATGGCTTGAGTTAAACGGGTAAAACTAGATAGATAGATAGATAGATAGATAGATAGATAGATAGATAGATAGATAGATAGATAGATAGATAGATAGATAGATAGATAGATAGATAGATAGATAGATAGATGATAGATAGATAGATAGATGATAGATAGATAGATAGATAGATAGATAGATAGATAGATAGATAGATAGATAGATAGATAGATAGATAGATAGATAGATGATAGATAGATAGATAGATGATAGATAGATAGATAGATAGATAGATAGATAGATAGATAGATAGATAGATAGATAGATAGATAGATAGATAGATGATAGATAGATAGATAGATAGATAGATAGATAGATAGATAGATAGATAGATAGATAGATAGATAGATGATAGATAGATAGATAGATAGATAGATAGATAGATAGATAGATAGATAGATAGATAGATAGATAGATAGATAGATAGATAGATAGATAGATAGATAGATGGGAAAATGCATTTAGTAACCAGCCCAGGTAATCTGGTTGTATTTGTTAGCTTAATATAAACAATGTAAGTGAATGGTAACAGCTAGCATTTTGCGTGAAAAGTCATGAAAGTTACTCAATAATGATCCTAAGTTTTTCTTTGTGATCTCAATAATCATGTTGACAAATAAAAGTTCTAAATATAACACAAGGTTGGATAACAGCTGACCCGTGTCACCCTGGACAGTCTTTTTGACTCGCTTCCATCTGGCAGGAGGCTCAGATCCATTCGGACAGAACTTCTCGCCACAAGAACAGTTTCTTCCCTCTGCTGTTGGACTCATGAACGATAATCCTAGGACTGTCCACTCCAGTCACTTGATTTCAGTCATCTGTGTTGTGTTTGTACCTGAACTGATCCGCTCTGATTAGTACCTACACTGTCTTTTATATAGCAGCCGTTTCTCTAATTATTGCCACTTTATATTAATATTTTATCATGATTATATTCCTACTCCCTATATTTGCTTATCTCTTATTTTTATCTTTCTTTTTGCACCAAATACTGCAGCAATGTCCTAATATTGTGATTTCTCACACATATGGCAATAAAACCTTCTGATTCTGATTCAAAGGAATTATGGGATCTAATTTAGACATTATATACGACAAAGCACCACCGTCACAGCTGCAAGGCACAAGGTCATGACCCAGCAGCCACAAAAGACACCTACTTCATATGTCATGTACTCTGCCATTTTTAGTGCAACTTGCTGTACCGTGCATTTGTGTTTAATTTGAATGGTTGAAATGCTAGCTGTTACTACTCACACTTCATTTGTCACGGTTTTGGGCTGTGGATTTGGATGTGTTGTGTTTTGCCACTATTTGTCAACATCTAGCTTTTTATATTCAATATTTCATGATGGTATTTATTTTTCATAAAGTTTCCAGAACAATAGAGAGAAAATAAATATTAGCCATAAAGGCGCGACAGTCCGCAGTAGTAAAAACAACAAAACACACATTTGTGATTTTCAGAACTTTAATTCTGTTTGCTACAAAAAGTAATAAATTAGCAATTAAATAACAAATTTGGGAGCTGAAAAGGTCCGATCGTAGGTCGGGAATGATAGATTTCCTCCCCATGAGTAGAAGCAACAGCATGTGATCTCCAGCAGAATCAAAAGTTCCACATGAACAACATTTTCAGGTATTTTATTACCTATCTGAGTTCCATAAGGGTAAAGGCACCTAGCATTCAGGCTGTAGTTGGTGTCAGATTCACAAAATATTATTTAGGACTCAGTTGTTGACAAAATATCAAACTTGTGGGGAGAATTCAGAGCAGACTGAGTGTTGGAGTTTAAAGGATTTGACTTGATGTTGAGCCACTTCAGAGACGGCATGGTGGACAACTTCTCCAAAGGTATTTCTGGTGGGAAACCGAAATAGGAAAACTGTATGATCTCAAAGAAAATCTTTGATTGCAGGTGGCTGATAAGAGTTTTTACATCCACACCGGATTCATAAATGTGACCCACCAGTGATGCTATTTCCCTCTAGATCGATCTTCTCCAGCGAGGCTATTTCAGTAAGCTTGTCGGGGAAGACAGAGAAGCTGTTATCAGCTAGGTTGATGCAGGTCAAGTGCTCCATTTCCCCCACAACATCGGGCAGTTTGGTGAGAACATTTCCTCGCAGATCAAGCTCTGCAAGGTATTTTAAAACAAGAGAAAATCAAGTCACAGCAGGAAGACCTTCTGTCAACATTCATGGTGTGAGCTGCATGCAAAGAAAACAAGACAGTCTCTTCTGTGACGGGAAGAGACTTTCCTACCTCTGAGTTGGGTAAAAGTCGAGAAGAACTTGCTAGAAATGGCCTTCATGGCATTATCAGCTAATGTGATAACATGGATATTTTCTGAAACAGATCTCAGGACCTTGAACACACCATCTGGGAAAGACATGAGCTGGCAGTTTGACAGATCTGCAAACCAGAGGAATAAGAGATCAGGGTGTAACACAACAAATACACACATTCTAAAAACTACAATGGTCAGGATTTCTGAGGCATTCAGAATTTAGGCCAGCATCACCATCTGCTGGTAAACTTTGAAACAGCGTCCACAACAAAATCAGAGGTGTACACTCATGCTCTAAAATGTAAAAAATTGCAATGAATGCAGAAATAAAACCTAATTATTTTTTAGATAACTTACCTAGATTATCTTTGCCATCTTCTACTGTCTCATTAATCCTTCGGGCCACTTTTGCAACCGCCTCTGCCATTTTTCCTGAATGAGTTTATAAAAAGCATCACTTTACACACATTCTTATTTTAAGACAGTTACAAACATATAACCAGCTAATATTTTTAATGAAATACGAAAAAAAATGCTTTCTGTGTAGCTACTATGAAATAGTCACTTTAGATGATAACAGGAACACTTTGACATCAACAGAGGGCAAAGGATCGAGAAAAGCTGCTGAGAATGAGCAGAGAGAAAGATTTCAACACCATCAGGTGAATTTTGACTACAATCAGTCAGCACAAATTGGTGTAAAAAGAGAATAATTTAGTAGATTTTCCAAAAAGATTAACAAACTGTTTCATTACATTTTTTAACAACTGTCTGTACAAAAGCTTGAGGCTCCGGGCTGTCTTTTTGCTATTATTAAAGTATTTACCCCACTGAGTCTACACATCAGTGACAAATCTAAATGCCATGTATTATATACTTAAATATTAAGGTGTAGATGATCTACATGTTGCCAAAAATAAAAAAAATTACTAAATCTGAATGCCAATTTAGGGGTTTTCCTTCATTTTATTCAGTTTTAATCAAGTAAAGTTTACGAAATGCCACAAATGAGCACACTGGGGCTGCTGTCCAATGAATGAAAATACATCCATCTAAATAAGATCCATAGCAAAAAAAAAAAACGTCAGAACAATTACAGATCAACAACTACAAGCCTGATCTGTGTTCACCAGGTTTCTCAAAACATAGAAAATCATTCTACAAGTGTAAAGAAATCTCTTACTTCCCAACAAGCAGCGAGTGTGCGTTACAGAACCTGGCAGCTGTCAGTGTTTGCTATCATTAGCTTTAGCAGCTTAAGCAACGTTGTGAGTATTTTTAGCCCAGTGGAACCCGGTGTAATGTAAGGGTATCCCGTGTAAAATATATAAGTAAGGTTTGTTATATTTTCCGACTCTTAACTGGAGCGATAAAACTAAAGAAAGGTGTTGCTTTTGCGGAAGTCTGAGTTTTTAGCTAAAGCTAAACTACAAGCTAACAGCTAACAGTGGTGTTCACGAGCGTCAGTCACGCGCTGCTACATGGCAGCGTAAATTATTCACAGACACCTATTTTGTAGACAATAATACAACGTATATTTATTATTAATAATAATATTTGTATTGTTATTGAACATTTTACATATAAATATTATTTTATTTGACCTAATTTAACCAGAAATATCTCAGTAAGATTTAAACCCTTCAAGATTGAAAAGGGAAACCTGGAAATAGCAAAAATTAAAATAAAATGAAATAATTACCCTTTCAAAGGTCAAATTATGTTCAATTAACATCCATGAAATCTCATGTAATTTAAAACATTTTAATACTGTATTGTTATTGTGAAATAGCTGCACATTTCTGATTTTTTTAAATGGTTGTAAAAAAGTGTATTTCTATTTGGATTTGGTTTTAGTCGAACATCAGAAAATTAAACACTGACTTACCTCTGATTCCAGTTCAACTGACAGTTTGAGCGGTTGTCAGAGTCGTGACTCCTGGCAAATTCCTGGTTACGCTGTGTTTTTACAAAGACTTTGGACACAAAGAATCCTCTGGCTTCAGAAGAACATAATTCACTATGACACATTGTTACACCGTTACTGTTTTTGCTGGATTTCCCTCTACAAAGCTGCGTTCAGCATGTTGGAATGTGGAGTCGCTGAGGGAGATTGAAACAAAACTAGAAAAGCACACCCGTTATGGTGTGCTGATTCTATCGTGGCACACAGCAGTTCCAGAAAAGCCAGTGGTGTGTGTTGTCCTATTATGTTTCTGCTTGTGTGAATATGAATTATTTCCAGCCTTTTTTCCTTGTAATGATATTGAGGATCCTCCTGCTTACTTGCAGTGACTTTTAACAGATTTTAATGCATTATGACACCATATTTACAAACCAAATAAAAAACTAGTTAAACTTAAATACATTATTCAATATCTACAAAAATACATATTAGTTTACAGTCAGTGACACGGAAAAATGCGTGAAAACGATGCTGAAGTATTGTTGGGTAATAGCTGAATGCTGTTATTGATTTCAGCACATCTCAAAAAGTTACAAACCAGAGCTCGTATAAAAAAATAAAGTTCAGATGCAATCATCTTACAGTGCATGTTAACAAATATTGAAGAGCATATTTCCTTAATGCTAAGTGTTTTCTTTTTGTGTTCCACAAGTTGTTTTTCTTCTTTACAGCATGTCTGCACAGTTCATGCTCAGAGGTGGTTCATTGGCAGCCACACTCTTCCACGATCATATCTTCATGGTGTCGGAGGAGCACCTGTCCGTTGTCAAAGTAGAGCATGCTGAGAGAGCTCATTTTGGTTGGAGCACAACACGGTGCTACCACTCGCTCAGGGTGGAAATAGTTCAAAAGACCCTGAAAAAGGAGAGACAGATCAGATTTACAAGGTAAACAACTGTGGTGTTGAGTAATGGAAGTGCAAATACTTTATTACCTTACTTAAATAGAACCTTTTTTCTGTACTTCACTGGATTGAAGGATTAATTAGCCAACTTACTACTTCTACTGCTTATATTTTCATGCAATTAGTTCCACTTTCTACTTCTTACATTTTAAACACAAGAGAAAGATGGAGCAGGAGATCAATAGGCAGATGGGTGCTGCGTTTGCAGTGATGCGGGCGATGTACCGGTCTGTCATGGTGAAGATTTACTTGATTTACTGCCCAGTCTACGTTCCTACCCTCACTTACGGTCTCGAGCTTTGGGTAGTGACTGAAAGAATGAGATCGTGGATACAAGTGGCTGAGATGAGTTTTCTCCGCAGGGTGGCTGGGCTCTTCCTTGTGAGAAGCCTGGTCATCCGGGAGGGGCTCGGAGTAGATCTGCTGCTCCTCCACATCGAGGAGCCAGTTGAGGTGGCTTGGGCATCTAGTTAGGTTGCCTCCTGGATGCTTTCCTGGTGAGGTTTTCCAGGCATGTCCAACCAGGAGGAGAGCCAAAGGAAGACCCAGGACACGCTGGAGGGACTCTCTCAGCTGACCAGGGAACACCTTGAGATTCCCCAGGAGTGGCTGGGGAGAGGGAAGTCTGGGCTCCTCTGCTTAAACCTATACATGCTTCTGCATCTGTGTTGGTACGGAGAAAATAACGCTATTATCCATCCTTGCGAGACTGCTGAAGAGCCCTCGCAAGGACGGATGGAGTCAAGCCTACTTTTCTAAACAACCGTCGAACGAGATGGATAGCGCACGCTTGTGATTGGTCAGCACGCCGCTTTCATCAGCTGCCATTGCACGTTCAAAAACATAAAGAGAGCTGAGAAAAGATATCTAGAGACAACCCCGGACCGGGTTGAAGAATACCTTTTGAAAAACTCTAAAAATACGAACGTTTATTCACCCGTGACTGGAGGAGTAAAATGATACACAGCAAGCATTTTAACCGTGGATGGAAACAGCAGGAAACATGGGTTTAGAGGTGGCGAGCACATGAAGAGGTGGAGGAGAATGACGGACACATTTGTCCGTGGGAAAAAGTCTCTTAAATACAAAAAACACAATATAAACACAATAGTAAATGCACTATCTTCCTTTCAGGGTACCCCAGAACAGCGCTACGCCCTCTGTTGTCCCGGCGGCAAATTGCTTTGCAACACTCATGAAGTGCCTCGTGATTTGTATCTTGAGAGGTGCTATGTAAAAGGTTGTTTTCTGTCTTTACTCCCCAGGAGACGGAGAAGTCTGAGAGCAAAATGTCTCCATCACTACGTGTGCATCTCTCTATCATGGAGCTGATGCAGAAGTATAAACTAGACTTTAGACTGCTACCCCCGCGATTCCTGATAAGTGGAGGACAATGGATGGATGGATTAACATTTTTAAAATTGCCTTGTAACTCATTGTATTTCAAGTTGTTGATAAAAACAAACGCAAAAAAAAAAAAGATCCAGAAAAACTGTCTCTGCAAAGATGGAATTTAACTGCAGTTAGATAAGCATTTTTACACATCTGCTATTCTGAAACATTATTGGGTTTTACCATCCGCAATCCACATGTGTACTTTTATGTGTTTGCGTTGCACTAAAATGCATTAATCTCAATGGGGACATGTGCAGCTGAAACAGTGTATCCCAAGTGTTTCAGCATCATCATTTCTACATATTTAGGGCCTTTAAATAAAATAGTGTTTGAGTGTAGCACCACTTAAGCCTTCGCCCTGGGTTACTTACATTACTTTAATACTTAGAGTAGTTTTGAAACCAGTAAAAGCTTGAAACAATACTTTTCTACAGAAGCCTTTTAAAATTCTAGTATCTATACTTTTACCTGAGTAATTAATATGAATACTTTTAGCACTGCTGGTCAAAGAACAGTTCTGTAGAAAGAAAGTTCCACTGAAGATATTTTATGGACAGCTGATAGTATTTATATCACTTACTCTGTCAAAAATTTGTCACAAAAAGTCTAAATCACGATTTTTCCTATCAGTCTCTTTCTGGAGTATTTCTCTTATCCGATGGCACCATCTAGTGGCTGACAAGCATATCACACAAAAAGTCTGTCGCTGTTTTTTAAGATGGCAACTTCACGTTTCTGTTTATAAATGTGCTTCTGCAGCCCACAAACAGAGCTAAAACAACGTTGTTTTACAAGTATGATTCTCATGTCATGTTGTGTTCTCACATATTTATTTATTAAAGACTTTCCTTTCCATGAAAAGTTCATCAACTCTGCCTCAGCCGATGTATTCCTTACATTTGAAGCATCTAAGCGGTAATCTAACGCCATTGGTTAGTTCTGGTCGGCAATCAGTTTCCTATTGCACGGAGCTCATGAAGGGCAGGGGGCGTGCTTAGCAAAAAATTAAATAAAAAAAGGACGTATTGCTTACATTATATCACAGTACATGATAAGATAATCACTTTTACGGATTTCTGACAAATCATACATAATTTCTGAAAGAGGACAACTCCGGAAAGCTGCTGTTAAATGGGGGATGTTTTCAGCCTATTGACACTAAATATGAGCAAATCCTCACTTTTAATATTTTAAAACTTTATAATTTTGCAAAAACAGATAAAAACTGAGATGTCCTCAAAGTGACATACTTGTTGCTCCATTTTGAGTTATTTTTAAATGTTTCCAACCATCGCGTTGCACTCACACCTTTTCGGACTTGATGTAAATGTGAACCCGAGAAGCCACTCAACCTATCAGTGATTAGCTGCACATGATCAAGCTCAGCAACTCCCACTTTGCGTCACATGGCAGAGAGAAGATGTAAACAAATGAGGTCATTAGTGTGAGTAAACTGATGGACTGACTGCTTTAATTACACTGACTGATTTTTGTACTAAAGTCTGCAACAAGTTAAACTTGTTTTGATGCAGCAGTTAACCGTGGAGAGGTGCTGTACTTACCTGCATGTAAGCATGATCAATCGGATTTGCGTCTTCACCCAGAGGACCCTGGCAGGAACCTTCGCAGCGGTAGGCGTTGAATCTTTTGGGAGAGATGATGGAGGAACCCCATCCGATTTGATTAAAGTCAACGATCAGATCCACCCTGTAACAGGGGGACTTTTCTCCCCCTCTGTTCAACACCTGCAGGCTTCTCGCTGTTTGCTGCCACTGACCTCGTTTGCTCCTTCGCCTCTTTTGCCAGTCGACCCTTTTGATTTCAGCAGGAGACAAAAACTTGGATTGTTCAGCTGTGCGAAGCAAGCTTGCTTTGGCCCTAGATTTTTTGTCCAACCCTGTGTGTGAGAAGACAACCAGAAAGGCCTGGTTGCTCACGTCCTGCACAGCTCTGGAACTCCCAGCATCAGCGAGCTGATCAGGAAAGGACAGCTCTCTCCTTGTCTTTTGTATTTTCATTCGTGTTGTTTTTCTTCTGTTTCGAGTTCTGGCCGGTGGTTTTAGCCTGAGCCAGTCCAGGAGAGGTTTGGTCATGTTGAACACTCTCCAGCTTTGAGACGAATTGACCACAGAGGCGTCCGTGAGAAGCCCCACTAGATCATGATCCAGGTGGAATACCTCCATAGTGAAGTTAGAACCATGTTGGGATTGAGGCAGTTTTATTCTCAACTGTGCTGCTTGGATGTGTTTGTCAGCCAGCAGGACGTGGAGGTCAAAGGTCACCACCCAGCACCCATGTCTGTGCGTCAAACCTGTTCCAGTAAAAACACAAACATTAACACAATTTAGCACATAATAAACAAAGCAGCCTGTCATTTAGGAGGAATATGTCAGAATGTCATGTCTTTGTTTTTAACGGCAGACAAGTAAAATTGGCCCCTAACTTGATTTATCTCGCTTCATCTTCCCAATGACTGAAAATAAAAACAAAACATCTTAAAATTCAAAAATTGCAGGATTGTGAAAGCTGAGTTTTGAATTTCTAAAAAACAAAGCCATCCAATTTAGGAATAAAATACGAGACCAGTGAGAAACTATGGCCCAGTGAGGCGCTACACCCTGGATCTCATGGTTTTTATGCAACCTTTTTCTCCCATCATGCAGCCCTGCTAGCAGAAAGAAATGCAATCTCCAAATGTAAGATTTGTTTCACCAAAAAAGTAACATATTTGTCTCTATTGTCAGTTTTTTAAAGATATTTATAAATGTGTGTATTTAGATGAATACTTAAAAACTTTTGTACTTTCAAAGACAAACTATTTTTAAAATAAAGGATTTGTTAAAGTTGATGTTAAAGCAAAACATTGCAGTTTTACTTTGATTGTTTAATTTATTTTTGAGTTAAGTTAACTTAAATATTATGTTTGTCATTTGGAACAGTAAGGCTAAATGTCAGTGATTACTTAAACATATGTAATAATGTAAGGTAGTTAAATAATAGGTTTTTTTAAATCACCTGTAATATTTTACATATTAATTTATTTGTATCTTGTTTTTATTTTCTGCTAAATTGTAATCAAAAAGAATGTTTGGTTAAGTCAATAAATTATTTAAATGTTCTCAAAGGAAAGGGTGTTTTAATTAAAATAAGATGTTAGCATAAAATATTTTGCCAAAAGGGTTTTTTAATAAAAAAAAAACAATTATGAATTAGTAAGGAGTAATATGAAAGGAAATGCGGAAAATAAAGAAAAAATCTCAAAATGTAAAATTATTTTGCTTATTTTTTATGGGGAAAAGTGGGAATAAAGTACAAAACGTTTCCTAACAATAAAACCATTAAGTCACATCATGTGCATTACAGGTTTTTACAATTTATATTATATATAATATGAAATATTTTATATTAATCATAATATTTCCCTTCAATCACAGAAATGGCTCATAGACTAAATACACAGTTATAGTCGTTTTCTCTCATTTAGCAATCTTTAGAAATGTTTAACCCACGTTCGAGGCACTGGCTCGTTGGATTTGACTTTTGATCAAAAGATGAACCCATCTTCATCATTAATCCACTCAAACCAAACTCAGAACCAATCACTTAACTCGTCCTTCTCAGCCAAACAAATACAGGTAATAACTGCCGCTCCAGCAGAGATGTGAAATTGGATTCTGCAGCTGGGATGGTTGTCAGCTACTTGTGGTACCATGAAATCCCGAGCTCTAATCTAATCAGGCCGAGTGTGAAAAAAGAACTAAGGGAAGTTGTTGATTTGACCTAAGAAGAGATTTGTATAGGGGGTGTCTGGCGAGGGACCTAATAAACATGACTTATTTAAGGAAGAAAAGGCAGAGAGAGAGGTTTGCTTTGAGATTTAGACAGAAAAGTGGCCTTTTCACACACTGATCCCTGCGAGGTTATTCACGCCCTCAGAAGGATGTGGATTCAAGCCTCTCAGGTCGTCTGGCAACACATAACGCGCAGGGAATAGTCTGAACATGACCCCGTTACAAAAAGATAACAGTTTTAATTTCCTGGTTTAATAGTATAACATTTCCCGCGATAAAAGAATAAATCTTACTTTTTGCCATCAGACTCTTCACCGTGTCCGCCTGCTTTACCGCGTCTCGCTCCAGATTATCCATAGGAGGCCTGGAGAAGTTCGTCTTGAAATTCCTGTAAAGGTGCATCATGTAGGATGGCAGGTGGTGCGCGCTGGGTCGCTCCATCGGAGGTCTCATAACTCCTTCACCTCTGGATGTGGGGATCCCCTGGGCCAGCAGCAGCAGCAGCGATGCGCGCAGCAACAGCAGCGCGTCTCCCGGAGCTCCAAAAGAGCGCATGTTTTCTTCTGCTTCATGACAATACCGGACAGAAATGGGCTGTCCCTTATATAGCTACCCTCACCCACCCACTTTCATGTTTAACAAGTTGCTGGGAACATTAAAGGAAACTGTCAGGCGTCCTTAAGGCTTGTTACCTTGTTACCCGACAGCTCATCATCCATTCAGTTGGTAATGAGGCGGCTCGGTGAGAGTTTGCAACACCATTCTTTCGGAGCGCTCCTGCGTCCCGACTCCCATCCTTGCCTTGTTTCTAATATTTGTTTTACGCTAATTGTGAGTGAGGCTTTCCCGTATAGTGTAATGCACCGTATTGACATGCTGAGGAAATGATTAAAAAGGAGATCAGTTAATAAAAACATTAACATGAAAAAGAAACTTTAAACCTTGTTCGTTATTACACAAATTACATGCATTATGTCATTTTGTAAGGAGAAAGCAGCCTACACACTGTAACAGATTGCTATAAAAAAGAATGCACCCATTCACAAAAACAATATATAAACAAAGAAATTAAAATAATGAGTTAATACAAAATGGGGAAAATGGATAAAATAAAATAAAATGATAAGGAAGAAAGAACATGAATAAAAAAGGTAACACGTGATCCCAAGAAAGAGAATTGGTAACAGCAGCATGAAGAGGAGGTAGTGAGGAATAATCAACAGAAGGCCACACCAAAGTCAGCCTGAACGGTGAGTTTTCAGCTGTTTTTAAAGGTATTGGCCTTTAAATTCAGTACTACACTTTACCATCTGAACTGGGTTCAGTTTTTTATTTAGTTAAGGACTTTTGTCATAAATCATTACAGAAAATCCAAATCCTCTCCTCCAGACAGTGAAGAACTGTGTTCCGCATACATCAAGGTAGCTGCTGTTGCTAGTATTGTGAATGACTGTATTTTGTTTAGTTTCATGCTTTTAATTATTAGGAAAACTGCGTTAACAGCTGCAGCAACAGGTCTGGGGGCAAATGTCCATGTCCTACACGCATTTTTAAATAACATAGGTCTGATCTAAAATATTAACCTACATCTATAAATCCATCTGGAATCGCACTGCTACTTCTGGACTCCAGACAAGTCCCATTAGCATGACTGCAGCACTGCTAACCGCATTAGCTCTGGTAAGGAAAAAACAAGTCATTTGGGAAAACCACACACACACACACACACACACACACACACACACACACACACACACACACACACACACACACACACACACACACACACACACACACACACACACACACACGATCTAAAAGATGATCCCCATAATTCAACAATAGATCCTCCATGGACCGGTACTCCATGCCATCCTGGATTAGTGCCAACGAGTCAAACTGAGTTACTCCAACTCCAGGAAGATTTATTCTGGTAAACTAATGGCTAAATATTTTCCGGAGTTATATGAATATATACATGGAGCGGTAAAACTGGCAGCACATTATTTTATTTATCTGTAGATTACTGAATTATATTGGGACACGTGATGGACCTAAGACCAGCTGAGAACTCGTCAGTTTAGAGCTCCTGGTGGAAGCGCTATGAACACAGAAATGAAATATTTAACACAAGTAGGAACGGCACCAATTTTGGTTCTGAAGAGGAACAGAATCCTCCCTGGTGTCCAAATCAAACTGCGGGTCTTCTGAGTCAAACGGTCTAAAACATGTGTGCACCTCCGGTAGTGATATGCAGCTAGCGGGTTTTGAAGAAAGGTTCAACTTCTCTGGTAATATCCCTTTTTGTCGCCATCTCCCAGAGAAAAAACAAATTTGACCGACTAGCAGAGGCTTCAGAAGCTACACCTGACTGATAACACATTGTTCTCTGCCACAATGCTAACGCAGAAACACCGGCATTGTTTTTTTTTACTATAGCTGTTTCAGCAGATCTCCCTGTGAAACGTCACCAGCTGCACAGCTTTTTCTTAAAATTCCAGCTATGAAAATCCAAAAAATGTTGAGGTTTTAATAATTCTTTACACATGCCATTCAAAGGAATTTTGCCTCTGTCCAATATATTTAAAGGAGACCACTGATCTCAGGCTCGGGGGAGAGAGGTCCAGAGTCTGGGGGCCACAGCAGCAAATGATCTGTCACCTTTGGTCTTCAGCCTGGTGCGCTGCACAATCAGTAGGCTTTAATCACTGGACCTCAGGGACCTGCTGGAGGTGTAGGGACTAAGATCACCAATGTATGATGGTGCTTGTCCATGTAAGGCCCTATAGACCAGAACCAGGAACTTGAATTTGACCCTGAAGTTTATAGCCAGTGAAGCTGGAGGAGAAGCGGTGTGATGTGGGTGCGCTTTGAGGATTTTGTCAGAAGCCGACCACAGGCATTCTGAACCACTTGTAAACGGTTCAGGGAGGTTTTGCTCAGACAAGTGAAATGCGAATTGCAGTGGGAAGCTGCCTTTTCTGCATAAACAGAAAATGAGCATATTTTTGAAGTGCAGATTGTGGACGCAAACCCAGATTTTTCTTTCTGAAGATTATCCAGCTGAATCCTATTTGTGGTCACATCTTATAAGTTGAATTATAATATGCTATCTGTTTGCTGATGCTCTGTTGTTTCTTTTAAATAGAGCTGATCAAAAGCTAATTGTTGCACACTTATTTGGATCCCCTAAATTGATATGCTGTCATAAAGCTGTGGCATACCCAAAGGTCAAGTATTCACATGAAAAAGGACCAGAAAATAACCTTTAATTTGCAGACACAAACTGTGTCACACATCCAGGGACTAATTACATCTGTCTGGCCTCCAAACAAGAAAAACAAGGATCTATGACTGTGCAACCAAATAAGTTAACCATAATAAGTTCCTTTCCTTTTCTTTGCAGGAAGACAAGGCCCATGCGGAACACGAGACTTTCTACACTTTCAGTCTGAATAAAGTTAATCTTCCTTGAATCACAAATGACTTTACAACTTAATAGGTTGATGTATTTAAATGTGTTGAATTAACAAGATGCTTGAATCCCAGTGTTTGAATAATGTGTGCTTTAATCAATGATGTGTTAAAACGAATATTTTTCCTGCAATGATTAATTTCAGATCTTAAACTACACCGGATCAGTATTTGTTGATTTAACAAGTTAATCTGTCAGTATACTCATACATCATAAGATTAATATTTAGCTTTAACATTCACTTCACATAAATGTGTAAAAAAACATTTTCACTTCACACTAAGAGTTCACTTCTCTGAGTATCTGCAGTGAAGGCGTGTTTTCTGAGGTATTTTGTTAAGGCCTCATAAATGTGTCAGATTTGCCTAATTTATAAACAAAAGTTGATAAATACAGAAATCACTTCTTGATCTGATTGGTTCTCCCGCTGCCTCCCGGCTGGCTCGCCATAAAATTTGTAGTGTTACTTAAGGATTGACTACACATTAAATGATCATTAAGATGTGATATTCCATATAAATATGAAATATCAATCTGATTGGTCTTTGAATGTTAAAGTGATGTGTGTGTTCCCTGAATAGTAAAAAAAAACTAAAGTCTTCTGATTAAACTTTCAGTTTTGAATTTAACTTATTTGTTTGTGTTCACATTTATTAAATCCATGTTTTGCTGTAAAAACTGCATTTAAAATTGTGGAAATGCTATGTTTCTCTGCAGGAGTTAGTTTGTGTGTGTGTGTGTGTGTGTGTGTGTGTGTGTGTGTGTGTCTTTGATAATTTTCATCTCTAAAGTCTGTTTATACACAAAAATGATCACATTTTTCAATTGCAGTGTTTTATTTTGAAAAATATGTTTATTTTGTTAATATTACTGGCCTGCTTCTTCTGTTTGGGTTTGACTTCCTGCCAGAATTGAAGTGGTTCACTCACAGCTTGTGAAAAATTAGAGCACACGCCGAAACTGCACGGCGTGTGCCTTTGTGACGCTTTGCAGCTGACGTGACTGAGACCGTAGGTTAGGAAGGGTGCCGAATAGAAACGCTCGTCGCTCCACGGCGCTTCGCGGCGCTTCGCGGCGCATCATTGCGCTTCCACGTCTGATGTGATCCAAGAGTAAGCAGAGAGGCCCAGACTTCCTTCTCCCCATCCACTTGGGCCAGCTCCTCCGGGGAAATTGCAAGGCAACCCCTGGCCAGCCGCGAAACATGTCCCCCCAGCGTGTCCTAGGTCTTAGGTCTCCTCCCGGTTGGACGTGCTCAGAAAACTTCACCATGGAGGTATCCAGGAGGCATCCTAATCAGATGCCCAGGCCACTTAAATTGGCTCCTCTCAATGTCAAGAAGCAGCAGGCCTACACTGAGCCCCTCCCGAATGACTCAGCTTCTCACCTTATCCTAAAGGGAGAGATCAGACACCCCGAGAAGAAAACTCATTTCGGCTGTTGTATCCGTGATCTCGTACGTTTGGTCACTACCCAATGCTCATGGTCATAGATGAGGGTTGGAAAGTAGATCAAATGGTAAATGGAGAGCTTTGCCTTCTGTCTCAGCTCTCTTTCCACCACAACAGAGTGGTACAAGGCATGCAGTACTGTAGAAGTAGTACCAATCCATCTATCGCAGGACCTCATCCCTGACCTGGAAAAGGCATTCTACTCATTTTCTGAATCATGATCTAGGATTTAGAGGAGCTGATTCTCATGTAGCTGCTTCACACTCGTCCACAAACTGCTCTAGCAAAGTTGCAGATCACTGTCGGACCTCCGTAAAGGTAAAGAGCTGATCCAGAATTCCATGGCCAGGACGAAAACCACATTGTTCCTCCAGAATTTTATTTATTATTCCCCTTTTATGTCAGGGAGGGTGGCACCCTAGAGCCCACAAGCCCTAAAGTGGCGCCCACAAGCTGCCACTGCCAACTGTGTGTGTTTTTTTGACAGTATAAAGTGTTACTGTATAGTTAATTTTAAGTTGTTACATACAATTTTTGTCTAAACAATAAAATATTAATTTTAAAGTTAACTTTGTGTGATATGTGAGATTTTTTATTTTAGGTTCAGTGCTGGCTTGTTAGACAACAAGTTTCATTCATTCATTCATTCATTCATTCATTCATCCAAATTGCACATATTGAAGTTTTAATTATTTGCCGT